TCTAGAAATGAATCTGTGGGGCAGGAATAAGTTAATTGAAAGTTTAAATGAAATAGTAAATACCGCTCTATCTCATTTTTTAAAAGTATTATTTAATTTGATGCATTTAAGAGTCTGCAGATATAATATTCTTAAAGTAACCAAAACCAGTATTGGGTGTTTGTTTTACAATTTATTACTCAATTCTAGTGAATCCTATTATTAACGTAACTTAATGTTATTTGTATCCGTCTTTTATTGTCATGAAAAGTTATGTGATGTATAATTGTATTTCTTTTAAATGTAAGTTGTTATGCTTAAGCTAAGTGAATAATTTTAAGTTTTATTTTATTTATTTCATTATTGTTCACTGTTTTAATAAAACACATAGGAAGGAAATATTTATCTTTTCTTTATATAATTAATTGACTCTTCGAAATATTTAACTGTTTATGATTTCAATTTAATAACTTTCAAGAATTTGATTTAAAAAAGTCATACTTTCAGGAAAACACGTTCTTATGATGTTTTGATAAAAATAGGCATTTTACACATGGTCGTAGTAAATTACCTGAGCTTTTTACTATTAATAGTTTGGAAAGTCGTAGCGTGCGATGGATTACGAAACTCTTTCACTGCTTTAGAGTTTTCTTGTTTAAAAGGTTGCATGCCAGTTAATAAATGAATTATTCTTGACTTTTCTCAATACTGTCATTATAACCCTATGTTATGTTGCTACTTCAATTTAAAAATGGATATAAAAAGTTTAGCGCCAAGTGTTACATCTCAACTAAGAAGTGGATTTAAAATAAATAGTTTCAAGCAGTGCGTCATAGAATTAGTAAGTACAAAATATGAACAGTCACAATTATTACATATTTATAGATGATAAGAAATGCTACATATATATACATACACAAAAAAGGAAGGAAATAGCACATTCTTTATATTTAAAACTTTACTAAACTTTCTTGCGTATTCTCTCAGGAAGCGAAACTTATTTACTTAAACAAAATAAAATTGTATGCTTTCTAACTTTAAATTTGATTCTGATTAATCTACTGGAGAATTACAGGATATTATAGATTAGATTTTTTATGTAGTTTGGATTCCATTAGGATTGATTTTATTTGATTTGAACTTATATTTGAATTTTAAAAACCGTATGCTCCTTCATTACGTTTACGTTATTCAAAAATAAAAACATGTTTAGGCGCGCGTACTATCGTCCTTATCATTATGTAAAAATACTTTTCTTCTGTTTAATCATTAATTATATCCCTTCATATAGGTACAATGTCATAAATTTTTATTAAATTGTAGGTTTTAAACAGTATAGATGCAAAATCAAGTGCAATAGCCATAAGAATTAATTTAGCATCATTTAGAATACAAGTAGTGGATAATGGTTGTGGTATTTCACAAGTTAACATGAATTTGGTTGCAACACGTTATGCAACCAGTAAATGTAGATCACTAAGAGAATTAGAAAAAAGACCAAAATGTTACGGCTTCAGGGGTGAAGCTTTAGCAAGTATAGTGTCATGTTCGAAGAAAATAGTTATTGAATCTAGGGTAAATGAAAACGGTAACACGTACAGTAAAACTTTCGAAAACGGTAAATGGGGCCCAGTTGAAGTAGGGCGTTTTAGACCTTGCATAGGAACGACAATAACAATCGAAAATTTCTTATGCAACATGCCAGTTAGAAAAGAGCAAATTAAACGAAATTTAGACATGGAAGAAATTAGACTGTATATTGAAAGTCTTTCTTTCGTCCATCCTTCCATCTCTTTTAGTATAAGAGATGACATTAACAATAAAATTATTTTACAATCCCACATGGTCGAAACAGTCGCAGAAGTTGTGGTAAATGCTTATCAACACATTAATATTGAAAATTTTGAACAATTACAAGTCACTAAAGATAAAATAAGGGTAACGGGTCTGATATACAAATATCCATATTCAATAAACAAACTTCAACTTATTTATGTTAATAAAAGACCAGTCGAATGTCAATCGATTCAAAAAGTTGTAAGGAAATTATTTTTAAAGTCATTTTTTCATCAGAGATGCGTACAAGTATTCGAAAATGATGCAAACTACGCCGTTTATCTGTTAAATATTTCCTGCCCGACTTCAGAGGTAGAGATCTGGTTGGAACATAGTGAAACATTGGTAGAATTTAAAAGATGGGATGTTGTGTTGAAATGTATAGAAAAACTTATCATAAAGTTCCTAGTAGGAGAAGAACTCTTACCAAAATCTAAAACTGATAAAACTAAGGATGAAATTCGTAACGAATCTCTAGGAAAGATGAGTAGTGGCGTTAATTTATCGAATATCGATGGTATTTTTAAAAGTGTACCAGCTAAACGCAAAAGAAATGAGACTTACAAAAGTAAAAAAGATGTCGTCGTCAAAAAGCGAAAATCATGCCCTGATTTAGAAACAATTCAACAAGGAACTAATACAATTAGTAATGACGTTGACATATCTCATGATAACCGTTGGTCTGAATCAGAAATTGCTCCAGCTACTAAGGAAAATAAGAAAAGCCTTTTTGATCGTCACCATAACACCCAAAGTCTTGTTTTAAATTCAGATAGTGATGACGAACCAGAACTGGTTTTTGATACTAAAGGTGCTCTTAATGAGAGTGAGAGGAAAGGTAAAAGCCTAATCTTGGATATGTTCCTAAAATCTTCGCTAGTTTATAAATCAGATAGTCCCAAGAGCATCTTCAACTGTATGCCCATAGAAACCGTTAGAAAACCCCCCAAACCGTCCCAAAAAGTCCTCAGAAATGAAGATAGCAATGCAAATATGACTGTTTCGATTAAAGTTAACACTCATCGGACTGTTGCCAAAAGCTCGATTTATACCATAACAAAGGCGAATAAGTACGATGAAATTGGCGGAAAACAAACTAAATGTAGAGAAATTGAAGTTCAAACGTCCGATTGGGGAAACAATGACTGTGAGAATTATTCAAAAACTAAAAGTACGAAATGTGTACAAACCACTCTACAAGAGCACGAAAAGATCACGATGGACGAAGAAAGAGAATTTCAGATGAATTTCAATTTTGACTATTTTAACGACAGTGTCGGTAATGGTGTTCCAGAAATAACCCTTTACAACATACTAGACCCAAAGTACGAAAAGTCTCATACAAACGACCCGCATTACACCTTTAACTTCAATACTCCCTTCCAGACCAGTAAATTTTTTTCCGATTTCAAAAAACCGTGCACGAAAATAAAAGATATAAAATCCAGTGACAATAAAAAATACTGTCGACCTTACTGTTCCGAGGAAAGGCCCTTATCAAATACAAAGTACATTGAAGAGACGTATAACTCGAGAAACGTAGATAATTATTTGAAAAACAAACGTAATTATTTGCAAGATGCCTTTCAACGTACCGAATGTACAAATTGGATTTACAATAACCAGAAAAGATGTCAGGTACACGACAGATATCAAAGACAATGTCAATGCCTTGAATCTATTCCCAAAGCTCAACCAAATATTCAAAGTAATATGTGTAAGAGAATGCAACCTGTGATAGAAGAAACAAATCGTGGAAGTTGTTGTTATAAAACGAACAACATTTCAAGTAAAGAAAAGTACAAAAATCTTTATGATAACGTTCGAAATCACAATTATCGGACTCGTATACCATTTATACCTAATAGTTCTCGCCAACAATGTAACGGTATATGTCGCTATGATAGCTATGATAGCCACGAGAACTACCTGAAAAAAAGCAATTCTTTTCCTACTTGTCGAAAATCCTGTACCAACTACGGCAATCCAATGGGAATCAACTGCAATATAGCCAATCGTAACCGACAAGATTTAAATAAGTTTTGTAAAAATGCAACTCGTAATCAAAAGTTTGTACAACATGAAAATTGCTTAAGACGTCACACTATGAATTTCGACAAGAGAAACTTAAATAAATACAAATCAGAAAATTGTTTAAAGCATTCTACTCATCAAAAGCAGAAAAAAAGTGTATCACATGGGTTAAAATTTCCTAATACTCAGACCAAGGAGGGATTCTTCTTAGGATGTAACAATGCCAAAAAGGATTATGGACATAAGTTGAAAATAAATAGCAAGAATACGTTTAAAAAGCCCCTAGACATTCAGTACAAATCAAATAATAAGAAAGACAGTTCAAACAAGCAATCATTTCAATTTGCAGAAAATTTTAAATCTGATTTTGTAAAATCTCAACAACCTGAATATTTATTTTACGACAAGGATACAGTAGAAAAAAGTAACAATATAACTGAATTTACACTAACTTATAACGACACAAGAAACCACGATGACTTCCTTTTTGAAAAAACCGTTGACGAAATCGATTTAAATAATTTAGAAACTATAAAATCTGTTGAATGTAACGATAATAATATAAATTTTGGTAGCATTCTGTCAGAAGTCGGAAATCCTTTCTGCATGAGTACCCGAAATAATTTTTGTCAAAAAGAAAATAAAAAACAACATTTGCAATTCAACACCGAACAAGAAGGTAAACAAACTCATTGCAAATACAAACCGTTGACAATGTCTCTAAAGAAAATCCGTTCATATCCTGAACCGTACCCTTCACCATTTGTCACTGATTTTCCTAAAAATACATTCAATAAAGTTGATTCAACTAATGACAAATTGTTTTCTAACGAAGAAGATATCTTTCACGTAAATAACAATGATAAGGAATATCTGAAAGGAGATAGATCTTCTGACTACCGCTCTACAGTCTCTCAAAATTGTCTTCCAAATGTCAATGTAGGAAATAATTTAGAATTTGAAAACAGTAAGCAAAATAGTTCATTCGAAATTGTATTTTTTGATGATGAAGATATTTTGCCAGACAATAAAAAATGCTTAAAAAGTAACTGTAATAGTTCCAAAGATCCAGGATTAACTTGCGATCGGAATGAATTGGTTTCTAAAAGTGAAGATAAACTGGTAATTACCCTCAGCGAAACTGAAAAGAATTTACTAATTAAGAAGGATTTGCATGAAGAAGCAAATGCTCACAAATATGCCTACAGTGATTCTAATTCGTCAGAAGAAGACAATAAAAGAATAAATGACAGAAAAATGTTTGATTTGAAGACAGGTAATTGCAAATTTGTTTTTTAGTTCAGAATAATCCGTGACTTTGACCAAAATTATTGTCTAAACAAAAAGTAATGATTTTTTCCAATAATAAATTTTGAGTAATTCCTGTTTAAAGTAGTGTTTGTTATATATAAATAAACCTTTTCAAATTAATTTTATTACAGTAAGCAACGATTTTGGGAATACCCTGCGTAACATTTGTAAAATATATTTTATTATGTACCTATAATATTGGTTGTAGGAATGACTGTATGTCCAAATCTTCCAACTTCTGACTTTTTTAATTTTACAAAACGAATCTCTTGTATACCAAAGGGTCTCTCCCCTGTTTTAAACTTTAAGACGGAGGTTTATACCGAATTAAGTCAAAATTCTAAAAATGCTTTATTAATGCAAATAATGCAGAGTTACGAAGATGAACTGAAAGAGATCAAATGGGAAAAAATTAAAACTGAAGCTGGTAGATATAAATATAAAAGTTGTTTTAATAAATAGCGAGTATCTATAACATTTTAGATGTGAACGGTGTTCTTGATGAACTGTATTCAGCCAAATGTAAAAATTACGAGATGATTTGCCCGATTTTACTTCCGTTAGGTATCAATCAAGCATCAGCTATAACATTTTCTAAGCATATTTTCAATGAAATCACCGTTATCGGTTCAGTCGATAAAAAATTTGTTGTTGTTTACGCAAAGTTGAAAAAACTATTGATCATCATCGATCAACATGCCGCTCATGAACGCGTTCGACTTGAAATGCTTATGAATGGTAAATATCAATCATACCTGTAAATAAATACTTACTACTGGATTTCAAAATTTGGGTTTTTCCTCGTTGTATAGAATATACACACCAGGAAATTGAAGAAGTGACATTTAAGCAATCAAAGTTAAAGAAAACTATTCCATTAAAATTATCCTCTGATGAAGTACGATGCCTCTCCTCTAAGGACGTTAATAATCATTTTAGGAAATTGGGAGTTTCATATAACTTACAAGGAAATTGTATGGATATAGTAGCAGTTCCTACATGCTTGTATAATAATGTTTTTGAAAATGTAAACTAATGCATTTGATAATCGAGAAGAGAACGTTTTTAAAGACGATAAATTTACAGGTTGACACTGAGAAGGATAAACTACTGAAATTATTTGTCTCCTCGTTTATTAAAGAAGAGTTCGACTTTTTAAAGAATTCCAGATGCTTCTCCAAGACTATTCCTAACTTTCTGAATAAAATAATTAATCATGAAGCATGTAGAGGTAAAGTCTCAATTTCGAGTTTCCACAAATATTTTAAATTTGAAAAATATTGTCGAAGTATAGGGTGAAATTTTCATTTCAGGTGCAATAAAGTTTGGTGATGTGCTTACAACAGAAGCATGCCAGAATCTTGTACAATCACTATCGTTATGCAAGCTACCTTTCCAATGTGCCCATGGAAGACCTACAATGGTGCCTCTTACAAATATGCGAAAAATGCCACCAAAAGTTGAGGTAATTTTTTTTTATTTTACGAATAGATGTTTATAATTTTTTAGCGGTAGGTAATATAATAATACAATATTAGGTACTCAACATTGTGAATGGTGTGGACCAAAAATAACAACAGCTGTTCACATTAACGAATGCTATATTTATCTAATGAAACTGTAGTTAACAGTTTCTGATTTGGTATGAGATTAGTCCCTTTTCTTATATTACAAATTGTAAATTTGCCCATTATTTAATTCTTCAATCGAAGCGATTGCCAAGAAGAATAAGACACTTTCGACTTTTACTTCGGTAGTACATGCAAAACTCAGATAACACTATCATTTAACGGTTAATTGTGACTTCTCTCCATCTAATACCGACTGGGGAAGTACCAAATAGGTATATCGGGGACTTACAGAAACAATAACGGCGAAATATCGAATTTTAAATGCCAATGGATATTCGTTTCCTTAACCGAAGGTTTAGTTTGTTCTTGGTATATGATGGCGTAATATAATTATTTAATTCTTGAATCAAACCAATTTCCAATGAAGAGTAAGTCACTTGTGTCGGGGATTTACAGCGGCGAAATATCGATTTTTAAAAACTAATGGATACCGGTTTCTATAACCGAAGGTTTAGTTTACTCGTATTATATGGTGACGTAACATAATTAATATGCTAGTCATGTTATGCGATATTCACACTACCGAGTGTCTACTGTATGTATGGTCGTAGTCTGTACCATTTAATTGATTTAAGTGTATATGTATATTATATTTTTTTCTTAGGTACATTTTTTTAATAAATATGTTTCTGTTTCATTTTTCAGAGACAAAAAGTGAATTTAAAGAAACTAAAAGCACTTTAGCTTTTCGCTGACCTGAAAATACATTCTAATTAAGAATTGTTCTTTAATTTTTACATTTTATTAATAATAATAATGAAATGATTGTTATAAATAAAAATAATGCATTTTTTTAAAATGTGCTTTATTGGTAACATTGCAAAGTATAAAAAACAATGAAGAGAAAATAGTTTGTACACATACACCCGACATAAAATTATATTACCAATTTAACGTTTTAAATTTAAAAAATAATTTTCATGAAGCTTCAACTCTCTCCAAAATACCATTAAATGCCTTAAATAAATGCAAATATTATTACAAATTATTGTCTATTGGAAAAGAGTTGAATTTACTTAAAAAAGTTCAATCTGTATGCTGCCGCCATCCCTGCCAAACCTACGGCAACACTGGCCCCCAATGTAGCCCACACATAAAGCTGAAAAAGAATTAAAGCATGAGCGAGAAAATTGTACACACAACAATCAACATTTACTTTAAAGGAGGTAGGTTTTTCAGTTTTCTTCTCTCCAATGTGGTCCTTGAACATTCTTCTTGCCAACTCCTTTTCTGAATTCTTTTGCTTCTGAAGTAGCCCCTGAATTGATAATATTTCTTTTTGGATATCAACATTTTTGGGCTCGATTTTGTTTGCTTTCTGAAGAATTTGCATTGCTCCATTTAAATCGTTTTTAGCTCTTAACACCTGTACAATTTTAATATAAAGTTAAGTGCTTTAATTTCAATATGTGAATTTATAGATTACCTTTGCTTTACGATAGAGTGCTTTTACATTTTCTGGTTGACAACGCAGTACTGTTTGCAAAGATTGTAGGGCAGCATCAAACAACTCTAATTTGATTTGAGCAGCTGCCATATTATTGCAGACATTTATTCTATCTTCTAATAACTTTTGCAATTCGGCATCTGTTACTTGCTTCTCCCCATCTGGTAATGGTTGTTTGATTCCTCCTTCAACTTCGTCTAAATAATCTAATGCCCTTCTGTAACACTGAATTGCTATTTGATTTTCTCCTCTGCCATACCACCAATTCCCTCTTTCTCGTTTTTTGTTTCTAAAACAATAACTAACTAATGAAGACCATAATATTTTATTATAATACAGTAATTATTGTTAAATGTCATACCCTTTTAATTTCCTCTGTGCTAAATTTAAACTCTCTGGTTCATCATCATCATCTGCAGACAGCAAGGTGACTTCATACAAAATTGTTGCATTTGGAGGAATTTTAGATTCTAATCCTCTGCTTCCATAGGCCAGTCTTGGTTCAATTTTAATCTTGCTTGTTTCCCCTACATTCATTAATGCTAGAACAACATCTAATCCCTGAACAACCTAGACAATCAACATTTGCATTATGATTAGATGACAACACTTACTAATATATAATATATGACCTATACTAATAGAAAATTAAATGGATTAATACTTACTTCATTGTCACCAATTTGAACTTCAAAATCATCTTGTTCTTCCACCAATACCCCATCTTCCAAATAACACTTATACTTTATTTTACAGTTTTGTAAACTAATAGGTCTAGTGCCTAATTTCCCTTCTACTAATGTTAATTTCAAAATGCTACCACTGCCTAAAACGTCTTCCCATTTTTCAGTTTTTCCATTGTTTAGTTCTTGATTAGTATCGTTAACTTTTTCAGTTGCATTTGTATTGGTATCTCCCTGATTTTGTTTAGAAGCATTATTTATTTCTTGACTATCCTGTAAGTCATTCAATAACGATACAGAACTGTCATCAGAGGTATCACCACTCTCAATTTCGTAGTCACTCATGTTTTATGAGATTGAATGACTTTAAGAAACTTATCCAAACAATTTGTCACTTTATGTTCTATTTAGCACATTTTGAACAAATGAATAAAAAACTGAAACACTTAACGATAACCTCAAACCATAATGCCAAAATCAGCTGAAAGAAGTGACAGGTTGTTAAAGACATTGACGTCATTAGTAGCTCTTCTAGAAAATGATATACAGGGTGATAAAATATTTGATCCAGGATTTTAGTATATATAATAGTCAAACAGGTCTGTAATAAGGATAGGTATCATTCCTGGAGGAGAGGGGCGATATCGGTTTACAATTTAATCATTAATCCTTATCTCCTGATAATTTTAAAACTCTTCCACTTAAAAACTAGAATTAATAAATGATTTACTCCATTGATAAAAAACTAAAAAAAAAAGAGCCTTTGTCGTAGATTGTATTGATAACATCCATAATATTGATATTAAAGAAACAAAAATTTAACAATATCTTAATAGCACAACAAAATTATGCATAGTGTGTTTTTCTAATTGAATTTACACCTTTCTATACAAATCGTGCACAAAAGAAAGTCTTAATAGTACTAATAATAATGAATTAAAAATAGTACGATTTATCTACGAAATTTAGTCTTTAAAGAGAGATTTAACCCTAAATGCACAAACCCACATTAACACAATAAATTGTTGTACAGTTACTTAATAGTGTGCTAATTAACAAGGCATACATACAAACTATACATGGATAATTTTTATTTAGCTGAATTTAATTTTGTTGCTAAGTTCTGAGCAAGGCTTTCGTCAATCTTTTTGAACATTTTTATGGCCTTTTTCTGTATGAATCGTTCAGCGTTTCGTAGTTCATCAAACACGTTTTCAATAAAATTATTTCGTCCAGCATCGTCAAGCCTGTGTTTATAAAAATATGTTGCCTGAGAAAAGTTATCTTCATCACCATTATCATAAACACCGACAACACCAGATGTAAAGTAAGGAGACGATAAGCTCTGTGCCCAATGTGATGCATTTGGACCTCCGAAACTATTTGGGTGATAGTTTACAGCGCCTCCTTGACTGTAGAATGTCATTTTCCCATCTCGTTGATAATTTTGTACATTACAAGGACGATTGATAGGAAGTTGCATATAATTGGCACCTAATCTGTATAATTGCGTATCGGTATACGAATAGAGTCTTCCATGTAACATCCTGTCTACCGACGGTCTTATACCGGGAACCATACGTGTTGGGCAGAAAGCAATCTGTTCAACTTCTTCGAAGTAATTGATTGGATTTTTTGTAAGGGTTAGTCTTCCGACTTCGATTAGAGGATATTGGTCTTCAGGCCATACTTTAGTGTCATCGAAAATGTTAAATGTCGACGTGTCCGCTTGGTTTTGGGTCATCACTTGAATATGCATCGTCCACGAAGGATAATTACCTTTGGCAATGTTATTAAACATGTCTCTTTGATAGATATCGAGATCAGATGCCTGGATTGCTGCTGCTTCTTTACCGGAGTAGTTTTTAATACCTTGACGACTGTATAAATGAAATTTACAATAAACATGTTGACCGGATTTATTGACCAATTTGAAAGTGTTAACGCCGTAACCGTTTATGTGGCGCATGCTGTATGGCGTTCCCATGTCGGAATAAAGCCACATCACTATGTGGGCAGTTTCTGGACGTAAAGTGTAAAAGTCCCATCTCGTAGTGGCGTTAAATAAATTGGTTGTCGGATGGCGTTTCAAAGCGTGAATAACATGGGGAAACAGTCTGGGATCTCGAATGAAAAATACCGGAAAGTCATTCCCTACCAAATCCCAAATTCCATCTTCAGTGTAAAATTTTACGGAAAAACCTCTCACATCGCGTATTGTGTCGGCTATTCCTTGATCGCTCAAGGTCGATGATAACCGCACTGCAATTGGCGTTTTCTTGCCTATTTGTGAAAATACTTTAGCTGCACTATATTTTGTTATGTCATTTGTTACTTCGAAGTAACCGCTTGCCCCAAATCCTTTGGCGTGAACAACCCTCGGGGGAATCCTTTCTCGATCGAAATGGGACATTTCGTCTAAAAACTCTGTATCTTCCAAAACAACGGGTCCGTTTGAACCTACCGTTGCTGTATGATCATCGTGGATTAATGGGGAACCATAACTGGTTGTGGACGAAGATGGGCAAGTCTGAAATTTTAGAAATATTTGATAGGATTTGTGATGATGATTTATTTGATTTTAGTTTAGCAATTCTTACATTATTTATAAAAAGTTAAAATTCTCTGAGTAGGTAATAATGGATTTTTTTTATAGTAGAATGCGCAAAATTCATATGTAGACTTACTTTTACCAAGAAATGTCCTTAAACATAACTTACTCCTATCAATTATTTCAATTATATATTTTNCAATTATTTTAATTATATATTTTATATTATTTACATATTCCTATTTGGCGTACAACTAAGATACGGATTTTGTAACTGAAGTAAATATTTTATCAATAACAATAATTACAATATTGTGCAAATGTAATTGGTCAATTTTCTTTGGCTTTCACAAGTAGGTAGAAGTACAAAACCGTTAAACATTTTTTTTTTGAATTGTTGTTAATAATTAATTAATTGATATGTAGATATCTTTCGCGTAAATGCAAACCATATAAATTGAAAATATTAATTTAAGTAGATAGATCTGTCTTTTCTCAATTTTTCACTGTGTACATTATGAACGTGTATCATATTTTTTTTACTGGTGTGGATATTGAAAAGACGTAAAGTGGTTTACACTTTAAGCTTTGTTTATAACTTCGCTAATTATTTTGGTCTTTCAATTATTTTCGATGAGCTTATTTGAAATTTCGGATGTAAAACATAAGCTTTCTGAACATATACCTATTTATTGGTATTAAAAAACAATAATTAAAAATTTAGTGTCTACTAAGTGGGAAAATTAAATCTAAAACTTGTTGTACTTACTTGAGGGATGACTTTTTCCAAAATCAAGAAATATAATAGAAATATTGTCTTAAAAACCTCCATATTGCTTTAACTTTTTTTCACAATTATCTTCTTGTTGCAACACTAAATATGTCCAAACAATGACATATGGGAGATACTGAAAACACGAAAGTGTTCGCAATTTATCGCAAATATTACCAATTAGATACTAGTTTATCTATAGCATTTACCGATTTGTAGTTTTCCTTTTAAAAAAAGTAAAATGAACTAGAACGTATGTAAATAGTTTCCTTCTACGTTTAAGGCCAACAACAAAGATCGACACTATTATTAGATATATTTAAACGTATCTATTTCTTAGTGTCTTAGTCCTTTAACTTAAATTTGAAATTAAGTTTGGTTAAAAAAGTGCAAACGACCCAACATTATTAACTAGACAATCACAAAAAGTTGCAAATATTCGTTTACTTTAGATACTTTTTCCATGATAAAGTTATCTACTTATTAAAAAATAGTTCTCATAACTAACATTCTTTATAAAAAAAGGCGAACGAATTTATGGTTTAATAATTAGCTAAAGTTACGTAATTTCAAAATAAGTGAAATATTTTAAAACAAAACGCAATTAAGGCCGGAATATAGACCATAGCAAAAATTGTTTCTCCAGCAAAACCCATATTCTTACAGTACCTACCATTAAATTAATTTATTAAATACAGATAGTGTAATGTATTTTAAAATAATCCTAATCAGTCTTGCGTGCTTGGAATTCAAAAAAGATTGTTAAAAGGTCATAGCATGGTTTTGTACACACTTTAGAAGTCAATATCGTTAAGGAGATTCATTTACACAAAGAATCCCACATCCTTCTGGAAATTAAAAAATTGGCATTGATTTTCACTCGTATTACGCTTTATCTCCTTTTCTTATATGTGATAATAATAGAAATACATATACGTTTATTTTATTTACATATAATGTAAAATATATCATTAATTATTTTAAGGACTACATACGTCAATACCACAAAAAGCTAAAGCTTCCGGTTGACCTTTAATTGCAAGTAATTCCTCTGTTATGCCACGAGCAAAACCTTGATTTACATTCGCAAACATAATAATAGCGCGAATTTGAATAAATTCGAAAGCTTGGCTAAGAGATTTAACTATGGAACTAATGAGGAATTTTCGGCCTTCATCATCAAGTTTGTTCTCATAGAAATCTCTCGGCTGTGAAAAATAATCTGTATCTGATAGATATTCCCGAACGTAGCCAGATGCATAGTATGGAGCAGATAAATTCTTAGCTCGACATGAAGATCCTGGTCCTCCGAAACTATTTGGATAATAATTGGGAGCACCTCCTTGATTTTCGAAAGCCATATGACCGTCGCGTTGATTATTGTGAACTGGGTTTATCGGCCGATTAACAGGAAGTTGTTGGAAGTTGTTACCTATTCTGTACCTTTGGGTGTCCATATATGAAAACACTCTTGCTTGTAATATTTTATCAGGCGAGGTTTGAATACCGGGAACCAAATTTGCTGGCGAGAAAGCTATTTGTTCTACTTCTGCAAAATGATTTGCTGGATTTTCGTTTAGAATTATTCTACCTACTTCGATCATTGGATATTTATCTTCAGGCCATGATTTTGTTGTATCTAAATAGTTGAATGGAGCTGAATCAGCTTCTGTTTGAGTCATTACTTGAATTTTCAGAGTCCAAGACGGAAAGTTACCTTTCTCTATCGAATAAAACATATCCCTTTGATAATAATCCGGGTCAGTAGACAGCAGCTTTGTTGTCTGCTCGATAGTTAAGTTTCTGATCTTTTGATTTGTTATAATATTAAATTTGCAATAAACGTATTCGCTGGATGCGTTTACCAACCTGAAAGTGTTAATGCCGAATGCATTCAAGTTTCTCATTGAGCACGGGAATCCTGTTTGAGAAAATAACCACATTAAACCATGTGTCGATTCTGGCCTAAGGGTCAAGAAGTCCCAAAACGTGGTTGCATTCATTAGGTTAGTTGTTGGATGTCTTTTGGATGCGTGAGCTAAACTAGAAAATAACTTCGGGTCGTTTATAACGAAGACACGCAAATTTAACGCCACCAAGTCCCATATGCCTTCCTCTGTGTAAAATTTAATTGAATATCCTCTGATATCGGTTTGAGTGTCTGCACCACCCTTATCCGCAAACCCATTCGAAAAGCGAACTGTTACTCGTGTCTTTTTCCCAATTGAAGAAAATACCTTGGCGGCACTGTATTTTGTTATATCGTTCGTAACCTCGAAGAAACCTTTCGCACCGAAACCTTTTGCGTGAACTATCCTTTCTGGAATACGTTCCCGGTCAATATGAGACTGATCATCCAAAAATTCTGCGGCTTCCATCGGAACTGGTCCTCTACATCCTACCGTACGGATTGCAAATCTGTCTCTGAGTGGTATTCCAGAACCAGTTGTTGCCACGGTAGGATCCTTTAAGTATATATAATTGATAATATAAATATCTAAATCTATATATATATATGTATAATGCTAATGTGCGTTCGTAGAGACAGGTTTTTCTCTATCACCACCAACTCCTATCAACTTCCCGTTGGGGTGGTAAATACCTCTTGGTCTCCTGCTGAAAGTAAGGGAGTTTGGTCGCGGTGGGTGGTTGTGGGTGGCGAAAATGTGAAAAAATATATACCTGTCCTTTTATAACTTATTCAAACTCCACAATGTGTGCAACTATTACAATCGATCTAGAATGTTCTAAAAATTTCTGGAATGATCTAGAAAGTTCCAAATTGTGTGCAACTGTTAAAATCGACATGAAATGTTCCAGAAAGTTCTAGAAATATATGGAATGATCTGGAAAGTTCCAAACTGTGCGCAACTGTTGAAATCGATATGGAATGTTCCATAAAGTTTTAGAAACATCTGGAATGATCTGGAAAGTTCCAAATGTCTGCAATTAATTTAACCCGACCAACGCCGGGTTTCGATGCTAGTTCATTTATATACTTTTAGAACAGAAAATAGTAACATTTTCAGACTAATCTTAGTCTTGATTTATACCTACAACTAGTCTTGGTCTTGATATTGCTATTCACCAGTAGATTCGTTTTAGTCTTGGTATTGTTCGCCTTCTTGTTTTTTTAAAGACTTACTGTAATAGTTCAGAAAAATTGAAATCATTTTATAGAAAATTATATGTATGAAATTTTGAGTTCTTTGGATACGGTTATTGTTCGAGGAGTAAGTTGCAAAAAGGGACAAGAAATTGTTTTCTTTTGTTCCTAATTGACCAAGTAACTTAATTTTGTATATTTCACAATAATGCTTCTTTAAGCACATTTAAAACATTTTAAACATAGGTAAATAGATTATTCAACAAATGTTACATATGCATCTTTTAATTTTTTTTGTGTTAATTTCAATGAAAGCTCAATACAAGACAAGACAAAGCTCCAAGAACAAAACTATTTGTTTAGTTTTTAAATAATAATTGATGCACGCTTCTGATATTTCAATTATTGAGGTAAATGATTTATGCAAAACGCAATGTTTATTATTTTTATACAAAAGAAAGAAAACGAAAAAGAAACAAACAAAAAGTTAAATATGTGAATAAGTCGGTGATGGATAGTTCTTTAAGAATACATTTTTCTATTTCTTACTTGTAAAAGTATTTTTATAAACAATGCAAAATCATGCTTAACAGTGTATTAGTTATTATCACAAAATATTTTACAAAAGACAGTTTTCGTAACAGAGAAAGTAATTACGCACGATATGGTTAAACCTAATTTACATAAAAACCTACCTGACATTCGCCGTTAACCAAGGAAAAACAAGTAATTAGCGGAATAGTTGTTAGAATTAATTTCATTTTTACTTATTGGTTCTGTCTTCTACTTTCCAAAAATTTGATATAAAATTTTTAATTTAGAAATACATATTTAGTTATTTAGAATTTATTAGAAAATGTTGCGTTAAAAATAAAATACTTTTGAATGTATTGTATATATTTACGTAAATACGTGACATTTTCATTAACGATAGTTCAATAAAAACATTTAAACACGTACTGCATGCACACAAATTAAGAAAAAACTATAAAACAATTTATTCTGCAGTTAAAGATTGGTAATCCATTTTGGATAATACTATTTCTCATTCCGCCTGATAAGCAATCCTATAAACCACACAAAGTTGTAGGAGTTGGTGGTGGCGAGATTGTAAGTAATTTCTCTGCGATACCACGGGCAAGATCTTCATTTACTTGTTTAAACATCCTAATCGTTCGAATTTGAATAAACTCCATAGCTGGACTAAGAGATTGAGCTATGGCACCAATTACAAATTTTCGACCTTCATCGTCAAGTCTGTTTCTCTTGCTTGCGAAAAGTAATCAGGATTCCTTTCATGATATTCGTAAGCATATCCAGACACGTAGTATGGAGCAGATAGATTCTTGGCTTGACTTGATGGTTCTGGTCCTCCGAAACTATTTGGATAATAATTGGGAGCACCTCCTTGGTTTACGAATGTCATGTGGCCATCTCGTTGATAATTTCGAACTGGGTTTATCGGTCGATTAATGGGAAGCTGTTGGAAATTATTACCTATTCTATATCTTTGGGTGTCCATATAGGCAAATAGCCTGGACTGTAACACCCTGTCAAGGGAAGGTAAAATACCAGGAACCAAATTTGCTGGTGAGAAACCTATTTGTTCTACTTCTGCAAAATGATTTGCTGGGTTCTCGTTCAGAACTATTCTACCCACTTCGATCATTGGATATTTATCTTCTGGCCATAGTTTTGTAGCATCAAGCGGATCAAATGGCGATAAATCAGCTTCTAATTGGGTCATTACTTGAATTTTTAAGGTCCACGAAGGGAAATTGCCCTTTGCTATAGAATCAAACATATCTCTTTGGTAATAATCCGGATCAGAGGATTTTAACATTTGTGCTTGCTCAAGAGTTAAACTTTTAACCTTTTGATTCGCAATAATATTAAATTTACAGTAAACATATTTTCCGTAAGCGTTTACCAATTTAAAAGTGTTAACAGCGAATGCATTCAAACCTCTCATGGTGCAAGGGAGGGTAGCCGGTGAAAACAACCATAGTATACCGTGTGTAGATTCCGGCCTTAGGGTTACCATGTCCCACAGTGTGGTCGAATTAACTAGGTCAGTAACGGGGTCTCTTTTGACTGCATGAACAAAACTAGTTAGAATCTTAGGATCATTCAAAACAAATACGCGCAAATTCAATCCTATTAAATCCCATATGCCTTCTTCAGTATATAATTTGATTGCAAATCCTCTAGGGTCGATATCTGTATCTGCACTACCTCTCTCCCGAAATGCGTTGGAAAAGCGAACTGCAACTGGAGTTTTCTTTCCAACTGAGGAAAATACCTTGGCGGCACTGTATTTTGTTATATCATTTGTTACCTCGAAGAAACCTTTTGCTCCAAAACCTTTCGCATGGACCACCCTTTCTGGAATACGTTCGCGATTGAAATGAGAAAGGTCTTCTAGCAGGTCTCCGTCTTCTATAAGAACGGGTCCTCTATATCCTGCTGTAAGAGTGGCAGTTTTGTCTCTAACCGGTATTCCAGAACCTGTTGTTGCTACTTGAGGTTCCTGTATAATAATAGTCAAAGTAATTACGAAATAAGGGTATTAGCATATTGACAAGTATTTCATTAGATCTAAAATTTGTAGTCACCTAACTGTGCGTGATCAAGGACGTACGTGTTTCTCGAGAATTGAACCGTTGTACATATAATGTTACCTACCTATATGTACATGGTCACAGGATAAAAACCAGAAAGATCACGCAATAAATTTTTAAAAAGTATTGTTTTGTAAAATATTTAACCCTTTTATGTATTTTTTAAAGGACGAATTTGTTTAAATAAAATAAGGAGACATACCTGACATACTATTTCTCGCAAAAAAAGAAATAATACTGAAATAGTTGTTAAAAGTGATTTCATACTTGCCGGACACTTATGTACTAATACTAGCAGATTTACTGATATTTTCATAGTATTTATAACTAAAGATCCTCAATTAATTTGTAATTTGGTAATCTTACACAGCGACAAAGACGAAGTGGTTATTGATGAAATTAGTAGTTTTCTGTGTCTACCATTTTTAACACAATAGTAGTTCTTTTATCACAGCTGCTTGTAAGATTAACTAATTTTAATTTAATGAGTCTGTTTTGGTAAAAATAATGGCGAAAGTTACTTAACAGAAATCCATTAAACGAAACAAAATTAATTTTTGATTTGTTAACGCTATTTTCTGTAATATTTGATAGCAAAGAAGACGATCTTATCTCTATCATAAACTATGCAGTACTGAACTTTGTTTTTTCTAATGATAAGAGGGAATTTGAGTAGATTTATATTGAAAGTAAAAGCTCTAGACTCGCGAGGTTTCTATATTTATAATGTTGGTATATACATAAATATACAAAGAGGGGGTTGCACATTTTAATATGTTTTAAATTATAAAAAAATCACAGACCGCACAAAGTTGTAGGATTTGGTGGTGGTTGAATTGCAAGTGATTTTTGTGCGATGCCACGGGCAAGACCTTCGTTTACTTGTTGAAACATCCTGATCGCACGAATTTGGATAAATTCCATAGCTTGGCTAAGAGATTGGGCTATGGCACTAATTACAAATTTTCGACCTTCATCATCAAGTTTATTTACGTAGAAATCTCTCGTTGTGTTAATTTCAATGAAAGCTCAATACGAGACAAGACAAAGCTCCAAGACCAAAACTCAATGTTTATTATTTTTATACAAAAGAANTGGGCTATGGCACTAATTACAAATTTTCGACCTTCATCATCAAGTTTATTTACGTAGAAATCTCTCGGTTGTGAAAAGTAATCCGGATCCCTTTCATGATATTGATAAGCGTACCCTGATACATAGTAGGGAGCAGATAGGTTCTTAGCCCAGGTCGATGGTTCTGGACCTCCGAAACTATTTGGATAATAATTGGGAGCACCTCCTTGGTTTACGAATGCCATGTGGCCATCTCGTTGATAATTTCGAACTGGGTTTATCGGTCGATTGATGGGAAGCTGTTGGAAGTTACTACCTATTCTGTACCGTTGGGTGTCCATATAAGCAAAGATCCTGGCTTGTAACATTTTGTCAAGAGAAGGTAAAATACCGGGAACCAAATTTGCTGGTGAGAAACCTATTTGTTCTACTTCTGCAAAATGATTTGATGGATTTTCGTTTAGAACTATTCTCCCCACTTCGATCATTGGATATTTATCTTCAGGCCATAGTTTAGTATCATCAAATGGATTGAATGACGATAAATCAGCTTCTAGTTGAGTCATTACTTGAATTTTTAAGGTCCACGAAGGGAAATTGCCCTTTGCTATAGAATCAAACATATCTCTTTGGTAATAATCCGGATCAGAAGATTTTAACTTTTCTGCTTGTTCAAGAGTTAAACTCTTAACATTTTCATTCGCAATAATATTAAATCTACAGTAAACATATCTTCCGTAAGCGTTTATCAACTTAAAAGTGTTAACAGCGAACGCATTCATACCCCTCATTGTGCAAGGGAGGGTAGCCGGTGAAAACAACCACATTATAGCATGTGTAGATTCCGGCCTAAGCGTTATCATGTCCCAGAATGTAGTTGAATTTACTAAGTTAGTAACGGGATGTCTTTTGGCTGCATGATTAAAATTGGTGAATAGTTTAGGATCATTTACAACAAAAACGGGCGTATGTAAAGCCATTAAATCCCATATACCATCTTCAGTATAAAATTTAACTGCAAATCCTCTAAGGTCGATATCTGTATCTGCATTACCTTTTTCTCGAAATGCGTTGGAAAAACGAACTGCAACTGGAGTTTTCTTTCCCATTGGAGAAAATACCTTGGCGGTACTGTATTTTGTTATATCATTTGTTACCTCGAAGAAACCTTTTGCTCCAAAACCTTTCGCATGGACCACCCTTTCTGGAACACGTTCGCGGTTGAAATGAGAAAGGTCCTCTAGCAGTTCTGCGTCTTCTATAAGAACGGGTCCTCTATATCCTGCTGTAAGAGTGGCAGTTTTGTCTCTAACCGGTATTCCAGAACCTGTTGTTGCTACTTGAGGTTCCTGTATAATAATAGTCAAAGTAATTACGAAATAAGGGTATTAGCATATTGACAAGTATTTCATTAGATCTAAAATTTGTAGTCACCTAACTGTGCGTGATCAAGGACGTACGTGTTTCTCGAGAATTGAACCGTTGTACATATAATGTTACCTACCTATATGTACATGGTCACAGGATAAAAACCAGAAAGATCACGCAATAAATTTTTAAAAAGTATTGTTTTGTAAAATATTTAACCCTTTTATGTATTTTTTAAAGGACGAATTTGTTTATGTAAAACAGTAAGACGTACCTGACATGCTATTTCTCTCAGAAAAAGAAATGCTGTTAAAATAGTTGTTGAGAGTGATTTCATTCTTGATGGTTGTTTACTAATACTATCGGATTTCTTGAAATTTTTACGATATTTATAACTAAAGATCCTCTATTAATTTGTAATTTAGTAATCTTAAGCAGCATCAAAATGTAAAATGGTTATTGATAACTTTAATAAGACTTATTATTACATTATAGCTATTATCTTTAAGAACTAATTTTAATTTGATGAGGCTATTTTGGAAAAAAAATACTGGTATGCAAGGGAAGAAAAAGTAAAGAAAGAGCGAATATAAAGATAGGAGACGAAAAATTAGAAGAAGTGACTGATTTTAGGTATCTAGGAAGTCAGATAAGTCAGGACGGAAGGAGTAGTAGGGATATAAAGCAGAGGATAGCGCAGGGTCGAGTCGCTTTCAATAAAAAGAAGTCATTTCTATGCTCGCGAACGATTACTTTTGAAACTCGAAAAAGATTGTTATAGGTGTATGCCTGGAGCGCGGCATTGTACGGGTGCGAAACATGGACGGTGGACGCAGCGGAAAAAAAAGGTTAGAAGCGTTCGAAATGTACTGTTACAGGCGAAGGATTAGGATACCGTAGATAGAAAAGGTTAGAAAGAAGAATAGGAGAACAGAGGACTATGAAAATCAATAAGAAATAGGCGAGATATGTTGGTGGAACACCCTCTCAGACATAAATGCCTAATGAGAGACAGAAACGGGAGTTAAGAGGAGTAGAGATAGACCTAGATTAGATTACTCAGGATAGAAAAGAATGGGGGTGCGTGTGCAGCCATTCTTAAGACTGACGACCTTATGTTGATAGTGAGGCTATTTTGGTCAATATAAATACAACGAAAGTAGCTCATTCTGAACACTATTTGCTGGAAGATTCGATAACAAAGAAATCAAGGACCTTATCTTTGAGAACGCAATGGTAATGTTATGGTTGCTGACCATAAGACAGAATTAGTGTAGATACTGATTTGAATGTAGAAGTCGCACGTTTTCTATATTTATAATATTTAAGGTTTATAAAAATAATAATTAAAAAACTCCTGAAAACGTAATGTCTAAGGAATAAGCAATTTATAATTAGAAAATTATGGAAATTTCTTACTTTCTTTATGCTAAACGCTTTGTTGCTTTTAATTAACACTTTGATAGGATTTAGCGAAACGAGAGCTTTTAATTGCACGAATTTAAATAAACTCCGCAAGTTGGCTAAGATATTGAGGTATTATCTGCTTCAGTTTTTACGTAAATTAAGTTGATTTTTGAAGCTATTTAGAGTAAATCTTGTATTAAAATATAAGTCATTAAAATAATAATGTTTCATATTTTCGAAACATAAATGATGATTTAATCTTTTAACGTCTTCTATTTTAACAAAATACCCATTACTTTATAACAGCCATTATCTTTATCATTATCTTCTTTGTTATTTAAGATTAACTAATTTGAATTTTATGAAGTTGTTTTTAAAAAAATGTTTTTTTTTTGTAGTAGGCGAGGGATTTTATCTCTACGATAGTTACTTTGTATACACACATATAATTGACAGTTGATTAAAAAAGGAATTCAAATCTCTCATTATTTATTTTTATATTAAAAACATCGTTGCTTTGTTTACAACATGCAGTTCATAAACTGAGGGTTTTATAAAAGGGATTAAATTAAAATTAATAATTAGACATGATTTGGCAAATGGAATTTTCAAAATATCAATTCATAGACCGCAGAGACTTGAAGGATTTGGTATCGGTGGAATAATAAGTAATTTTTCTGCGATACCACGAGCAAGATCTTCGTTTACTTGTGCAAACATATTAATTACACGAAATTGAACTAATTCCATAGTTTGGCTTAGAGATTGGGCTATGGCACTAATTACAAATTTTCGACCTTCATCATCAAGTTTATTTACGTAGAAATCTCTCGGTTGTGAAAAGTAATCCGGATCCCTTTCATGATATTGATAAGCGTACCCTGATACATAGTAGGGAGCAGATAGGTTCTTAGCCCAGGTCGATGGTTCTGGTCCTCCGAAACTATTTGGATAATAATTGGGAGCACCTCCTTGGTTTACGAATGCCATGTGGCCATCTCGTTGATAATTCCGAACTGGGTTTATCGGTCGATTAATGGGAAGTTGTTGGAAGTTATTACCAATCCTGTACCTTTGAGCGTCCATGTATGCAAATAACCTAGCGTGTAATATTTTGTCAACGGAAGGTTGAATACCGGGAACCAAATTTGCTGGTGAGAAACCTATTTGTTCTACTTCTGCAAAATAATTTGATGGGTTTTCGTTTAGAACTATTCTACCGACTTCAATCATTGGATACTCGTGTTCAGGCCATAGTTTCGAACTATCAAACGGATTGATTGGCGATAACTCAGCTTGCAGTTGTGTCATGACTTGAATTTTCAAGGTCCACGAAGGGAAATTGCCCTTTGCTATAGAATCAAACATATCTCTTTGGTAATAATCCGGATCAGAGGATTTTAACATTTCTGCTTGTTTAAGGGTTAAATATTTAGCTTCTTCGTTCGAAATGATATTGAACTTACAGTAAACGTATTCTCCATTTTCGTTTACCAACTTAAAGGTGTTGACAGCAAATGCATTCACACCCCTCATTGTGCAAGGGAGAGTAGCTGGTGAAAACAACCACAATGCAGAAAGTGTGGATTCCGGTGCAAGAGTGATAATGTCCCAAAATGCGGTTGTATTTAATAGATTAGTAACAGGGTCTCTTTTGGCTGCATGAACTAAACTAGTGAATAATTTTGGTTCGTCTGACGCAAACACGGGGAGATTTATTCCTAGCACGTCCCATGTTCCATCTTCAGTATAAAATTTTATTGCAAATCCTCTGGGATCGATATCTGTGTCTGCACCACCTTTGTCACCGGCTGACATAGAAAAGCGAACAGCAACTGGAGTTTTCTTTCCAACTGAAGAAAATACCTTGGCGGCACTGTACTTCGTTATATCGTTTGTTACCTCGAAGAAACCTTTTGCTCCAAAACCTTTCGCATGGACCACCCTTTCTGGAATACGTTCGCGATTGAAATGGGAAAGGTCCTCTAGCAGTTCTGCGTCTTCTATAAGAACGGGTCCTCTATATCCTGCTGTAAGAGTGGCAGTTTTGTCTCTAACCGGTATTCCAGAGCCTGTTGTTGCCACCTGATGCACCTTAAAGTAATTGCAAGCATTTATTAAAAATGTTTTGAATAATTTTAGTCTTACACGCCATGCAGATTTTTTTGTGATATTTGTAATACATGAAAACGTACCTGGCATTGAATCCATCGCAAGGAAACGAGCAATTGCAGAACAGCTATGAAAAATAACTTCATTCTAACTTATTGGTGGTACGTTTTATCTTGAAATAGATTTATTGTGAATGTTACATCGTTTTTTATAACTTAGAGTGGCTCTATTAGTGTAACATACAATTACCTAATATTATAAAGCGACGTATTAATGAGGAGATTGACGATAAAGTTTATATTTTGTACGTTATGCTAACGATGTTTCAAATGATAGAAAATTAGAGGATCAACAGCTGTAAGGTAAATCATTTGTAATTTTTGTCTGATATGATAAATAACTAGCTAATTGTTAGTGTAGTTGTCCTTGCAGTAAAAATGATTTATTTACAACGATATACTTAGACGACAAATTAATGTTTATATTAAAAAGAGGATTAAAGGTACCGTATGTTCTTTTTTGTACCACTGAAAATGTGGGTACAAAATTACCTGATAGGTTTACCCGCGGCTTCGCTTAATGTCCTATATACTGTTCGTTTCAAGAAGTTGGAGATATGCCCCTTCCCTTTATTAGGATGCGCCGTGGCATAATTCCGAATTCAATCATATTTGTCTGCGTAGCTCATTTCTTCATCGATCATCGAGCGAGAGCTAGATAAAAGTATACAGTACTATTTGCAAAATTATTTAAACTGCCTCGTTAAAATTTAAGAGTATGCTTCATTTAAAAGCATATTTAGCCAAAAATAATAACAAGTGAATTAACTTAACGTTCTACACACCTATAAAACTTTTGCATTCGTTTTCTATTGTTAATTTATATATGTTTTTGTTTTAAGAAATTGCTAACCATTATCGTCTAGTACTGTACAGTTCTAGCCGATCTCCTAAGACCGCCCATCGAGAGCTCTGCTCGTTCAAGCTTGTTCCAATTATTTCTGTCTTGCTCACGCCTAGTGTGTATTCTTTCTATCTTCGCGGAGATTTCTTCAAGGTTACAATTCTAACAAATTGAAATCGGCTGTACGTGCCAAAGATCATTGACGACCACATAAAACTAATTGTCAGTGGGTGTACAAAATTTCATGATGATCGGTTAAGTATTTAAAGCGTGAAATGGTGGCAAACAAATAAACTCATATTACTCTCCTCCCCCAGTATAAGACGAAATAAGAATAGGCCGACCCCCTCCCCCCTATTTAATATTTATTACGTAAGAATCTGAGGGAAAAAATAAATACACGTTATTTTTCAAAGTAACAATTTTTAGCAATGTTTATTTCAACTTACAAAGGTACTAGCGCTTTTTAAAAGTATAATTTTAACTTTACGCATTTTTGTGAGCTTACGTAAGAACTATCAAGACTTCCTAAATCATCATACGTAATAAATTAATGGTCCTTTAGGATTTCAATGATCTCACAACATAAAGGGAATTTTTTTTGTTAAATGCGACTCGACTATTATTTCTTTTACCGTCTTTTTCATCCTTCCTAAATATATAGAAAATCGAGGAAAACTTTTAGTTTTTCGACTCCAATTTTTATATTAGATAACTCTCTAACGTGATATCAAACAAACAAATATTTTATTGATACGTATACGATGCCAATGTACAGTAATTTCTATTAAAATTCAATACCGTTACTAAGGTACTATAATTTAATCAGCCAGTTTTGTTATTTGTGATTTTAGGCATATTAGAGATTATTAAAATAATTTAAACTTCATGGATAATAAATCAATAAGTAAACTAATAGGTGATAGGTGATAAGTGAAACAAAATTAACTAATTTTATTATCTTTATTTTTAAAGTACACAGACCCAAAGATATCGTTTGAATAGAAACACAGACGAATTGCAATGATGCAAACGTACAATTTTCAAAATTTAGATGCATCCTGTTTCATTAGGTTTCACTCTAAATAAATATTTCTTTGTTAAATGAAACTACAGATTACAAAGATTATAGTTTAAATTTTATTTAAAAGTATTCGGATTTTTTAAGCATTAACAGGTATTAAATCTATAAAAGGTACTGTTTGAATTTCGTAGAAATTTTTTTATGGTTAGTCTTACGTAAATTCTTTTAAAGGACGAATTTGTTTAAATAAAATAAGGAGACATACCTGACATACTATTTCTCGCAAAAAAAGAAATAATACTGAAATAGTTGTTAAAAGTGATTTCATACTTGCCGGACACTTATGTACTAATACTAGCAGATTTACTGATATTTTCATAGTATTTATAACTAAAGATCCTCAATTAATTTGTAATTTGGTAATCTTACACAGCGACAAAGACGAAGTGGTTGTTGATGAAATTAGTAGTTTTCTGTGTCTACCATTTTTAACACAATAGTAGTTCTTTTATCACAGCTGCTTGTAAGATTAACTAATTTTAATTTAATGAGTCTGTTTTGGTAAAAATAATGGCGAAAGTTACTTAACAGAAATCCATTAAACGAAACAAAATTAATTTTTGATTTGTTAACGCTATTTTCTGTAATATTTGATAGCAAAGAAGACGATCTTATCTCTATCATAAACTATGCAGTACTGAACTTTGTTTTTTCTAATGATAAGAGGGAATTTGAGTAGATTTATATTGAAAGTAAAAGCTCTAGACTCGCGAGGTTTCTATATTTATAATGTTGGTATATACATAAATATACAAAGAGGGGGTTGCACATTTTAATATGTTTTAAATTATAAAAAAATCACAGACCGCACAAAGTTGTAGGATTTGGTGGTGGTTGAATTGCAAGTGATTTTTGTGCGATGCCACGGGCAAGACCTTCGTTTACTTGTTGAAACATCCTGATCGCACGAATTTGGATAAATTCCATAGCTTGGCTAAGAGATTGGGCTATGGCACTAATTACAAATTTTCGACCTTCATCATCAAGTTNGGATAAGAAAACAGTCTTCCTTGTAACATTCTGTCAGGCGAAGGTTTAATTCCGGGCACCATTCGAGACGGGGACAGGGCCATTTGTTCGATTTGTTGGAAATAATTTGTAGGATTCTCGTTCAGTGTAAATCGGCCGACTTCGATTAAAGGATATTCATTTTCGGGCCATATCTTTGTGTCGTCGAATGGATTAAAAGTGGTATTCATTGCCTCCATGTCCGTCATTACTTGAATGTACATCGTCCATGACGGATAATTGTTGGATTTAATTGCTTCATACAAATCTCTCAGTGCGTAATCGGGATCGACGGACTGAAGTTCTTGGGCTCTCGCCGCAGTTAAGTTTCTCAAACCCTGATTGGACAAGTAATGAAATTTGCAAAAAACGTGATGTCCGGTGGCGTTAACCAGTTTGAATGTATTAACCCCAAAACCGTGCATAAATCTGAACCCGTCGGGAGTTCCCCTGTCAGAGAATAGATAAAGTAGCATGTGAGTTGTTTCCGGTCTCAATGTGAAAAAGTCCCATTGCATGTCACCGTCGTGAAGAAAGGTTGACGGATGCCTCTTCTGAGTATGAATGAAACTGGGGAATAATATGGGGTCTCGAATGAAGAATATTGGAAAGCTATTTCCTGCAAGGTCCCAGTTTCCTTCTTCTGTGTAAAATTTGATGGCAAAACCACGTGGATCTCGTTGTGTGTCAGCAGCACCTCTTTCACCAGCAACTGTGGAAAACCGAACCGCGATTTTCGTTCTCTTTCCAACTTCTGAGAAGAGAGAGGCTGCACAGTACTGAGTGATATTTTTGGTGACCTCAAAGTAACCAAATGCACCTCCGCCTTTGGCATGTACTACTCTTTCCGGTATTCGTTCTCGGTCAAAGTGTGCCATTTCGTCGATAAATTCTGTGTCTTCCAGTAGTAATGGCCCGCGAGGGCCAATCGTTAAGGATGCACCTCTATGTGTAACTGGTGCTCCAAACCCGGTGGTTATGTAGCTAGCCTGGAAAATTAAGAAATAAGTGTCAAATATATGTATAAAAGCTGTTATTTCCTATTCGTAAAAGACAGGACATTCTTCTGTTGATCCCCGAATTATTTTATTAAATCATCAAATGCCATTTATTCCGTAAATGATCCCGAAACAATTCCGTTGCTTTTCGAAAAACATAACTTGATAGGAACACAAACATCAAACGAGGTGTTAGTCCATGATTTACAGAACGAGTCGACCTAAAGATTAAAATATTTATATTTTGGAATTGACCAGCTAAAAATGGAACCATCATTGTTTCGTTTCGTAGGTATGTACATATATATGAACTATTTGTTACTTACGTCACATCAGCTAAGATGGAGTAGTACTTAATACATCGCCATATTTTATGTAGGTAGCCCTTTCGAGGGTAGCAATCTACACTACAGCAGGGCGATAGAAAGTGTGCCGGCCGCTACATCCTTTCTTACGTTAAAAAGAAAAAGGGTGCATCTAATTGGACGCTTTCTATCTCTCTATATATGCTGTACTATAGGATACCGCCTCAGTATCCTTTAAGCTTCCGAGTTTCTAATTCAAATTAATTTATTTTGAATAACATTACTAGAAAAAGTTTGACTAGGTAAACAAGCAACATGCTAGCTTATCTGTATTCAAAATTTAGAGTCATGAAATTTAGAAAATCGATAATTTGATTGCACTGATTCACTCGGTACTTCGCCTGGTGATTTCTTTCAGTCATAATGTGGCAAAGTTAGATTGTTAAACAAAGCTAAAACTTGCTAATGTAAAAAGATTCTTTGAATTTAATGTAGAGCCTACGTATAAGGGCTAGGGTCCACTATATCCTGTCTGGATTTGGATGGTAATCGGTCAACGCTGTAGCTAACAATCCTTTCGGTCGCGGTGTGAACATGGCCAATTGCTTTACTTTTACTGTTCCAATAAATAATTTGGGCTTTCTTCTAAGACATAGATACATTAAACAAAAATAACAAAAAAAACTTACAACGTTAAATAATAATAAATAAAGCAGAGACAATACGTTTTAGAAAATACTACAAATGGCGCAGTAAACGCCATCTGTAGCACGATGCTACATTTTAGGATTACGTATGCTCCAACAAGGTCCACTTGTGTGGATATCTACTTGCTGAAAACGAATCCCGGCGTAGCCAACCTCAACGTGATAGGCACGTTAGCTTAATCGAATAAAATAATTCGAAGTGGTCTGTATTCTGTCGAAACTGCCAGACGCGGATCGCGATTTCGATCTTTTTGGATCTCATCAGCGCGTCGCAGGCAGCAGACAGAACACAGACCAACTTTTACCTGCTGTCTTAACAGCGCGTTTTAGAAAATACTACAAATGGCGTAACAACGCCATCTGTAGCACGATGCTACATTTTAGAATTACGTATGCTCCAATTATTTTAAAGCAGACAGAACACAAAAAGGACAATTCTTTAGAGCAATTCAAACCGCTCTTGAAAAAGCAATTTCTTTTTGCCAATTCTTTATCTAGTAAGTAAATTACCTTTTGATAAGTCCTAATCAATCAAAGTACCCTTTTATCTATATCAGTATCACTCTATTATGTTTTCTACGTCACCTTTATTAATAATCTCTAACACATGTGTTTGAAGGTTTTGTTCGCTGCTAATAATTGTTTTTAATTTTTAAACAAGATTTCCTAGAGTGTTATTAACGTTGCCTGTACATAAACCGAGCTCTACAAAAATGTTTAAAACGCGAATTTAATCATCACCTGCAAAAACGCAGTCGTTGAAACGAAAATCAATCACATTGACCGTTTACATTACAGCTTCTTTAGAAGAAGAAGAAGAAGAGCAACACGATACGCCTTAATTAGTTAATATTAAACGAGGCTTTGAAAGATTTTCAAATGGTAATTACAATATTTCTTCAGAAGGTGATTCGCCACATACCTTACATTAGTTATATATTTTCTAATTACCAACAACTCGCGATCACTTACATATTCACTATATCAAAACGACTTACTGACTGACAACATTAAATTCATAACTTTAACAAATTGATTACACTTCTGTTATCGTTCAAATGATTCTATATCTAGGTACTTTATTATGTAATATCTACTACTGCAGTTGCCACGCATTCTGGCTTCGAGGATCGTCATTTTCATTAGACATGCTCAATTAATTTGTCCTTTAATGGCAACAAAGGAACTCGTATTGATAAGATAATGAAAACTTTCTAAAATTAATGTACATGCAAGGTGTTTCCGATAAGGTTTCATTGCATGAAAATGTTAATTTTGATTCAACAGGACTAGATATGATTCATACTAATCTGAGTTTCGTTTCTAAAGGAACTAGAGAGAAATGTATCTTCCTAATTAAAGTTTTTCATAAGGTACTGAAAATTTTTTTCCTGTTAATAAAAAATTTTAACTGTAATTGTCTTAAATTGGAGTACGTACAGGCGCAGTCAGTAAAATCAAGGCACTATTGTATGGGCACGATCCATAATTCCCCGAGGATCCACTTCCCTTGTGTTTTTTTATTGTTAGGCTTATGACTAAGATTTAGGACGAATGGAAACAGATGATTTTTCGTAACATTAGAATAATTTAACGTCAATGATGGCGAGCCAAGAATCGAACGAAAGTTCAGCCGTTTTTTATATAAATAATAAATTAATATAAGTCAAGCGAATGCAATTTATACTTTATTTAAAAGATTTCGAGAATACGCTTGGTTTCGGACAATTTTCGGTTACTATGAATGCATCTCTGTTTTGAGTAATTCTATTTCAATTTCACAGTAAAAGCGATTACTTAATATAAATATCAATATTATTGATAATAAAACAATAAAAAAGCAATCACAGAGAGTAGCGGCCAGTGTCAAAGTACGTAACGTTAATATCGCTATCTTCAGGTTCGAGAGCGACACTTAACTTCGAACCAAATATTTTTCTCCCCGGGCAAGAAACCCAAGAGGTCAATAACAGTATTAATTAAAAAAGAAAAGAAAAATATTTTCTTACCTCGTAGATAGGTATTGCTCTAGCGAATACTAAAACAGCAACGACTTCTAGCTTTACAAACATCATCGTGGGTTTTCCAACAGCTCTGCCTCTTTTATACTATTTGCTTTCCGCTTATCTTGATTTGTTCTGCCTTGCAGGAGTTGTTTATCCTGTAACATTTTAATTTTTTGTTTTTGGGAATTATTCGGTTTAAAAATTTTTTGAGTTAGACAGGTACACATAATTAAAACGGCGTTGATGATGACATTCACACTCAAATAAATACTTTCTATTAAATAAATATCGATTTTAACAACTAAAGATTAGTAATATACATATATAATTATCATAAGAACAACGTAATTTTTTTCAAATCATTTTTTAATTAAATTTAATCGAATGTAGACCCACATTTTACTCAGATAATTGATTAAAATTTAATTATTATTTAAAAATCAAAACACAAAGGGGTTTCTATTTGTTGAACGAAATCCTGTATTATTTTTTTAATTTTGTTAGTCAATAATATTAATTAAATTTAGTTTACATTTTAGTTCTTAGGCTATGGTTCGAAAATAAAACAAAAAATATATAACAAATTTGTATTACCTTCACGATACTGTGAAATATACGCACTTCACCACAACTTGATGAGTATTTTTTAAATGTTCCTCCCGAGGTTCGGAGTAGATAAAGTAACGGATTTTTACACAGCAAACTGCGACATGGAATTACAGGACACTGTTTATATGTATTAAATTTACGATTAAGGGGGACGTTTACAAACCTGTGCGACCGGTATCTTAAAGATGACCAGTATTTATAAACAGAAAAAAATTTAATTAATTGTTCCAAAGTATTGCGGAAAATACATTCGATTTGCGACTATTTCTTATGTGACTATTGTCTTTTCTGATGGTACGTATTAGGTACAAATAGACATATAATGAAGTTTTTGATACCACAAATATTGCATAGAATAATAAACGTTAACATTAAAAAGTTTATGCGAAGATAACATTTATTATTGCTATTGTTTCTTCTTTTCATGAGTTTCATTTAATCAAAAGCAAACGTTTAAAATAATTATTGCTTTAACGACTCCACGTTTATTCGAATAATCTACTTCTAAATTGGATTTTTAATGGGGCAATGTTATGTTCAGCTAAAGAAATATACTTAAGCATTCTTATAAATCAATATACCAATAAAATATATTGTCAAAAGTGTAAAATGAACATAAACTTGATGTAAAATTTGCCTCAATCTATCCAAATTTCATTTGTTTCGACGTTCGGCGAAGGTACAGCGTCGCTAGCCCCAATTGTAATATCAGAATTAGACAAAAAAATGAGTTTCATGGCACTTAATAGTAAATGAACGCGAACATTTTTGTCTACAAGGATCATTGCTCGCCTAACCAGAATACATTTTCGTGAGTGCATGCGATAGCACTTTATTATTGTTAGAAATGCAATATCATTATTAAATTGTTTATTGCTATTGAAAATACAGATAATTTTGTCCTATCCTTATCTGAAAAATAAATTGAATTTTCTCAAAAATTATAGGTACATAGAAATTTCATAAAAATAATAGTAAGCTTTGAAATTTAATAAGCAATTATAACAAATTAACTGGGTTGTCAGAATTTCAAATAAATTATTGAGTTTGCAACCGTTTTCAGTTAAAGGTTCGACATTTTAAGTCTTCGAATTAATGAATACTTAAATAATTAATGCACATTTCGCTTTGCGTTAATTTAAAAAAATGTTAAAAATATGACTAATTTTAGGTAAAATTGACTAAACAACGTTGTATTTTACTGTTATAATATTTTCGATTTTTTTTTCACTTTGATGCATAATTTCACCAGTTCCAGTAATTTAAAATTTTTTTGTAGAACTCATTAAGTCCAATTTAAGTATTACTTTTTGTACGTACTTACTCATTACAAAAAGAACAATAGGTAACAATAGGCAACAATTACTTACGTCTTAATATCAGTGTAAGTGCCCTGTCACGAATTTCAAACCCTGTAAGAATATTTAACAAACGCTGCCCTTTTCGCCCTCTGAATTTAATGTAATTATCCTATTATCGAGCAGTTAATAAAATTTGCCTTTAATTTTTAAAGTTACCTACATTCTTACACAATGTTCTGTTTGCCATTAAAAAATTGCTTTAAAGAATAATTTCACCCTATTGAGGAGCTTATTTTAACAGAAAATTCGATAAATAAACAAATTACAATGAATTTATACTAAACAATTAAATAGTGTTACATACCAGGCAACAACTGCTTTACTGTTTGAATGGGAATGATGTCAATATTTCAAACTACAAAAAGTGTTTGTCTCTCTATCATTATAAATTAGTTACTAACAAAGAATTGTTTACCTTATTGTTTAAAAAACACCTTACTATTACATTAGATAGCTTGACAATATTGTTTTGATAAGCTAACAATTGAAAAATTAACACAACATTACCCATTTATCCGTACTATCAATTAATTTTAGGTGACACCCCCTAATTTTAATTATCTTCTAAACGACTTACCTACGTATTTTTATGTTATTTTTTTTTATATTCTGCTGCAACTAACTATTACGTATGTTATTTCTTATTCGATATTTAGTATAGACTAAACTAATACTGTTGTTTTGTGTTACGGTTTGTACCATTGACGTGACCAATTGTTGTATAAACAAGTCATTAAATATAATTAGTCAATAATTAATTTTTCCCCATTGTGGTAATGAATTTATAACACGCGATCCTATTACTTTGATAGCCGTTACAAATTAGGTCCCAAACAACCGAAGAAAATTACTAGGTAATTCTTGTTAATGTGGATAAATTATCGATAAAATTTAAAATAAGAATGACATAATAAAGTTGTTAAATACTCGTTGACAGGAAATATTTCAGTATGATTGGAGGTATGTACAATACAAGTTCTACATATTTAAATTAACGGAAACAAGCCATGATTCTCGTTTGATTGATCAGCTTTTTATCTACCGATTTAAGGCTAGAATGCACTAGCTCATTGTGTTAATGACCTATTAGTAGTTAGGCAAAAATTGTTATTATGAGTAAGACCAAAGTTTCGTTAAAAGATGAGCAACTGGAAGAAACGGTAGTGTTGGCTTTCGGCCGTAAGGCATTACCACTAGTTCTGCGGTGAATTAATCGATAAAATAGAACTCTTGAAGATAATAATCACTCGTATCGGTGAAACGTCGAGAAGAAAAATCTCCAGACAACGACGAATAAGCTAAAAAGCCAGTAGTTTACATTAGACCATGGCCGCAAAAGCCCCAAATTAATTTATCATGAAGAAAAGGTGACCATCATGAACATTGTTTTGTTTACGAGTTTCAGGACGATTCTTTGGCAGGAAAGTATTTTTTTGTGCTTGTTCAAGTAATTACTCCTGTCGACGTCTCGTTTACGGGAGCGTTTCTCCCTTTTCTTCCTCCCATGATCTACCTTATTACTGTATCAGAAGAACTTCTGAGAATGCCTACCAACCGTATTAGCGAAACATCATCACAGTTCATTAAACTGACGACTTAAGCACTTCATTTAATTTTATTTCGTTTTCCATTTATTTTCAATCATTTCCAAAATACAAGGACTTTTGTCGTTATCAACCTCCGGCCGATAACAAAGTTATCTTTTAATAACACTATTGTTGCAAGGAAGGTCAGAAACTTCACGTTCGAACCTACTATCGAACGAAAACGGTTTTATCAAAAATTCGTTTTTTAACCCTATTCTTAGTTTTGTGTTCGATTGTAGGTACCAAACACCATTAGGGTTAACCAAGTCAACATTTTTTGTATTAGTAGTCTCAATGTCAGGGCCCGTTACTCCAATTCTCATGTGGGCCCTTCAGATTTGTTACTATACCTACGTAGTTTTAAAACATTTGCTACGCTATTTCAAAATTTGTACTTTAATGCATTTTACGGCGCCCCCTACCGTCCAGGACCCGGTACAGTTGTACCATGTACGCGGGACCACTCGAGGCCATTTTACATCAACTACTTACAATTACGTACAAACCTGTCATGAAGAATAAAGATTGCATAATTAATTTAAACAGCAAATGCACGAATGAATGAATACTGCACGTGATGATCTTCGTTAGCGGATATAATATGAATTAGTAGTATACCTTAGAAGAGGCTTCTGCCAGCACGCTGAAGGAACACTTGTCACGTGGTCACTCGTGTTGTTCAGGTGCCGTGCACATTGGTGAACTGTTGCTGTCACTCATGTATTTTGCGTTTTTAAAAAGGCTATTGATTTGACAGTCCCGGGTTACCTGGGACATAACATCATTACAAGTTTATTGATATGCGATTACTACCTTGATAAATCAAAGAGTTTGTATTTTTACAACAACAATTGTTTTCAATCTGATACCCAAAAACGGTACCGAGGTAAACAAAAATCAGCCAAATGTGCGTGATCAACTCGTGCATCGAAGGTTTTGCGTCCTACAAAAAGATTATTACCTTACAACATTGTAACGTCTAATTTAGTTTGATGTATTTCGTTTAAACAAGCAACAGCAACAGTATGGCCACTTTTTAATTAACAGGATATATTTTTTAGTACCAGAACTTAATAAAGCGCAAAAACTATTGTAGGTACCTTTTTTCTAACTCACTATTGATGATATGATTTCGCTACTTGTACCATAAGGCGGTCATATTATGGGTTAAAATTTCTGTTACAGTTACATCTTGAACATGGTGATAACTGAATGTACCTATACAGAAAACTGTACAGTGAAATTTGTCGACTTTATTCATTATTATTACAGTTTTATTATTCTTTATTAAACCACGTGGTTTTGAGTAATTCTTTTCTGCTTTTCGTTTTACGCAAAAGTTGTCATGCCTTGATGGAACTCTATTGTTAGGTATACACTTTGAATTTTTTCGTTTAGATGGTCAGTAATAGTCAGGACTAGGATAACAAATACCTTATTGTAATTGCCACAAACAATATCAGATATTTAAATAACATTTTTAGAACCGAGTGGCCGTTTATAATGAACATTAACTGGGCGATTTTTTTAAAATATGGTGAATCAAATTAAGCAGGGGTTTTTTAATCCTGACTGATTAATTTACCTAAAAACACACATTAGTTTACCATTTTTCTTTTTTTCTCTTTTCTCAACTGCCACGGCTGCAAAGGTATGATTTACTACTGAAAAGTGACGTCACGGGCTTTCTCCAAGGTCATTGAAGCGTTTAGAATCTGGATGGCTTTCAAAACATTCAAAAAGTAATAGTATGACCATAGAAAAAAAATTTTATTTAAAAAGTCGTATGTGTCCAAATGGGCAATAAGGGAGAGATTAGAAAGTTATTGACAAGTCCGTTCTAAACTTATTTATTTAGGTATGCGAAATCAGTCCATTACATTGTATAAATTATATGTATAGATATATAAGTATAACATTTATTACAACTTAACACTACAAAATAAATTAGTTTTATAAACTATTTTATGTTATGTACAATAATGAAAAAGCACATGAAACACTAGTACGTATTTAGGTGATTCCTTTTAATAAAGTCATAAAAATATATTGTAATACGCTATTAACTTTATTGATGCTTCAATAAAAGGAAATGTATGCTTTTAAATTATTATCAAAACGTATCCACTTTCAAGTCCCACGTACCCATTTTCCCTTTTACTCCTTTGTCAACTGACTCTATAATAATTTTATTTGTATGAGTTGTTATTTTCGGAGTATAATGCAAAGGGATTTTTAGCCGAAACAGAAAAAAATCTTTACAAGGTAATTTATTTACAGAATCACTTTAAACCTACATATAGAGCATTAATCACTTCAATTTAATCCTTAAGCGATACATTTTTTCTCCTGACGTATTTATTAAAATAATCAGGTCTCCAACATTTACATGACCCCGGAATTAAGAACCAGTCGTAGTAAAGTCGGACCTGGAAGCATCCCAGAGCATCGACTCCGTCACAATGCACAGGTTTAGGGGTCGTTGTCGTTTCTGGATAAGTTTGTTGAACGCCAGCTCTCTTCTGAAGGTATTGCTGATAATTCTATGAGAAATATAACGTTATTATATATAACAAACTCAAAGTTATGAGTCGGTATCTAGAACTTATTTAATACCAACCTGGAAATCTTGTACGGAAGGAGGCTGAGACGACGCAACGGGATTTCTTTGTGGATTGACGGCATCGCTACCGCTGAGGACCGTGTCAGGATAATAAATTTCAGCCACAAGAAGACTCGACCAACGCGGTGACGACAAACAACCACCATCCAAATAATGACAGCGAGACTGCAGACATCTAATAAGATAATTTAACATTTAGGTTTGCTTCTAAGATCTATCTTCATCTTTCATAAGTCTAGTGTAATTTTGATTGTTCTTTGATTGAATTTAAACAACTGTAATCTTAAATGTAGTTATTACCTAGTAACTTCTACGGTTTGGGTAAAATAGCCCTCATAGGGGATTTGAACCACGTAGCGCCATATGCCTTGGTAGTTTTTGGCAAACACTGGAGTGGCGTATTCTACTTTGGCAGGACATGGTGTAGGAGGTCCTTCAAAATGGGGCAAAGGAACTTCGTCTCTTCGTTCAATAGGCAGTTGTGAGGAAGAAGGCGATGAAGCTGATGATGACGATGATGATGTAGAAGAAAGTTCTCCATTAATGGCTTTGTAAAGCATACAAAGGAATCCACCTTGGTCACAAAACTTTTTACCTTTGCGATCGTCATCATCCTGTAATTGACGTCCCGTTTCCCTCTTCACGTGGTTTTTGTTAACTTCATAAGGAACAACCCTAATATTAAAATAGATTATTCGAGACTTCTCCACCAAAAATAAAATGCTTGGTCTTTAATATTTACGTGTTTTCGTTCAAGAACTCGTCTTGATATTGTGCCACTTTAGGGAGAGTTTCATCAGCTTTCAAAATTGGTAAAGTTCTGCTAAGGAATTTTAATGTGTGATTCTTCAAGAGTTCACTGAAAAATAAAACGCGTTTCGGTTTAGTCGGAAAATCATCCAGTTTTTTAGATATTCTTAATACTGTGATGCATGATAGTCAATGATATTTGATGATGCAGAATTTGAATCAAACAGTAGAAAAGTTATTTTGAAATCTTACAATGGATATGGTGATCCAAGAACGTTTTGTCCCATTGGGTTTCTTGGGATGTAACCCTTATTCAAATCGCCACATAGATTATAATACGAAGCATGAGGCGTTCTGTCTTCGTCGTCTTTGCATTCAACGGAAGAATATGAATAAGGAGGCGGACGAACCCTAGGGGGGTCTGCGTTTGGTGATTCCACAAAAGCATAGTAGCCCTCTGGAGGACCATTTGTAGAATCTTTATCAGACGGAGCCGTTGACGAGCCCGGCGTTTGAAGTACGACTATTTGCGATATCAGTAACACCAACTACAATATAAAGGAAATAGTAAATTTATTATCCTTATCTAAGCCACTCGAGACACACAATTGTGTTTTATCATGTGTTACGTAACATGTTATTGAGAGAATTGTAATATCTTATCGAAATGTCAGTGGTTGATAAAGCGTCGTATTGGATAAGTTCAACCCCCAAATATTATAAAAGTCATAACCCAAGATTTAAAAATATAATTTTGAATTCATTAAATTCTACATTACTTCTGGTAGATTTACTTTTACTAAAAGCATATTCTAAAATTGGCATGATATAGCCTATATAATTTCGGTGACATTAAACTTTGAACATTTTTTTAATCATCATCATAAGGTCGTCAGTCCTAAGACTGGTTTGACATGCAAGTCCACTCTTTCCTATCTTGAGCTAATCTTCGCATTTCCTTAAAACTAGAACAACCCATATTGTTTTATCCCTCATTAATTTGAGGTAGTTTGTAGTGGGTAAATAAAAAATCGAAAAAATGATTTCAAATTAATATTGCATATTAATCCACTATTAAGTAACTAACAATGTCATAGGATTCCACATCGTTAACTATTTGAGAACAGTAATCTAATCTAGGTCTACCTCCAATACTCTTAACTCCTGTTTCTGCCTCTAACATGTCTTTGACTAGACCTTCATGCCTGGGAAGGCGTCCTACCAACCTATCTCGCGTATTTCCTTTTGACTTTCATAGAGTCTTCTGTTCTTCTATTCTTTCTAATACCTCTTCATTTCTAACCTTCTCCATCCACGATATCCTCATCATTCGTCTGTAACACCTCATTTAGAACGCTTCTAACCTTTTCTTTTCCGACGCGCCCACCGTCCCTGATTCGCACCCGTACAGCGCCGCGCTCCAAACATACACTTTTAACAATCTTTNCGGCAAATGGTGTATTGTCTTTAGAGGAAGAACATTTCGTGAAATCAAAAGAATTTATACCTGAAAGGTGGATAAGAAATGGAGAAAAGGAAATTTCATGCAAAAATACTCATCCGTTTGTATTTCTACCGTTTGGATATGGACCTAGGGCTTGTTTGGGCAAAAGATTAGCTAATATGGAAATGGAAATCGTACTTGCAAGGGTAAGCCAATTTATACAAAAATTGTTTAAATATCTAAAGTAAGTATGAGCTTTTCTTCGGCAGGCCTCAGGAATAACGGGACCACATAGCAATGGGAAGTGACTTCTTTTTATTGAAGGCAACTCGACCCTGCACTATCTTCTGCTTTATATCCCTACTACTGACTTCCTAATAGATACCTAAAATCAATTACTTCTCCTGTCTTTATATTCGCTCTATCCCTATTTTTCCTACATCCTCATACTAAAATTTTTTTGTTTTATTTAAATGAAATTGTGGCAATTGCATGCTAGACTTCTATATATACGTTTTAATATTCGTAAAGATAGTTCAGCCTTGACCCAGGATATGAATGCACTTATTTCACTTGAGCCTACATATGTACGTACATGCATGAAAGTACTTATAACTCTCTACTGATGGAAAGATCGAAAAGTACATCGGGAAAGGCATTTAGAATACCGTTAACTTATTGCTAACTGTTTCGTAGTGATTTGTTTTACTAACACTATACATTCACCAACTGTGGCATGCGCTAATTATTTTTAAATATTCTGGTCATGAAAACAAGAAATGGTTACATAATACTTCCGCGCCTTAAATTTTGGCAAGTAATATAAACAGGAATTAGTCCGAAACATGGATAATGGCTAATCGTGACTTCTAAATTAACTTTACGAAAATTAGATCATATTGTGATACAACTAATTAAATTAAGATCGCTTAGGTATGTAACTGAATCCTTGTTTAAAACTTGTATCAGAGTCAAAACTTAATCTGTAGTACAAAAACTATACATTAATAAAGGTATGATTATACAAGGCATAACCAGGAAGAAGACGAAAATAAAATCCTTTCTAACTGAATAACTTATAATAAAAGTAGCTTCATATTTACTACATGACCCCTACATAGTCAAGTTTACTTTGTAATTNTAATTAATTCTCATTATAAACTACAGTTCATTATCCAATTAGAGCCTTTCAAATGCAACGGTTAGTTATAAATTGTTTTAAATGTATGGGAATTCATTCTAATTGTGTATTCTCCTATTGTATTATACTGAATACCTAACAGTTGATACCAAATTGTTCAATCATTTTTTGTGGTCAGTAATGAACCGTTTGTTGGCTGAACGTGTCTTTTTACAAATACAATAAACCAATCAAATTGGAGCATTGTACAATTTTGAAATCCTGATATCAGATAGAAGGGTGGAAAGTTACATTTTAGCCTTGTTTTAGTGGACAAAAAAACAGTTATACCTACTGATTTTCAAATTATAGCCACCCCGAAAATAAAAAGGTTTTAATCGATTTAAAATTTGTATATTTGTTGAATAAATCAGCAATTGAAAGCGTTAACTCTAAAAGGAGAGTAATGTGATCCAAATACGTGAAAGTGATTTCGAATTCTTTGTAATAATGCATGTGTATTCAATTTTGGCAAAATTTGCATTGGGTCACAGTTTGACGTCACCCAACGGCAGTATCTATTGGGTCTCAAACAATATCTGAAATGCAAATACCATCGTTAGTAAAAAATCCACTGTAAATAAGTGTTATATATTGCAAATATTGTTGCTTCGTTGCAGGGCGGCGACCACATAGCACAGAAATTAAAAAATGAACTTGTGGAGAGGCTTTCGTTTCTCTTTTACTTTTAAATAGCTACCCAGTGTTCCATTTCGGTAAAGAAAATTGAAAATCCAAATGTTAAATAAATAAATTTCACTATGCATGTTTTAAAGTACATCCTTGTTACAGCTACTTATTTCTGTATTTAATTATTATTTATTAGTGGATAAGCAATTACATATTAAATAGAAGAATTAAAAAAAAAAGTTGCCACAACGTTTTGTCAAGGAAAACAAGCTTTTCATACCCAATAATTTTGGAGTAATACGTACAAATAACATTACATAATATTAAAATTATTGATCATTCAAATACATATACAATGGAAACTGTTGTAACTGATTGACCCACGTAACTCATTAGCAACAAGGGGTAAATTTTGAAAGGTTTATAGGTTGACACAAAAATAATAAATTATCTAAAAGAAAAGATGGTCCAAACTGATGCTCTTTAAAATAGAAAAATGTTGGTTTCAAAAGTACATCAAGATCCTATTAGAGCCAAACGCGAACCCTTTGACAGTCCCTCCTTCTACACTTCATCGTATCTTATTCAAGGATCAATATGAATTATGTTTTGTAAAGTACATATTTGGTGTTTTAGTTTTATACTGTCGCAAAACTATTATAGATAGAAATAAAATCATTTTTTCTATGTATAGGTACATATGTAGTGTTTTAGTTTATAAATGCAGAATAAAGAGCTTAGCTAAGCATTAACACAGCGTAACAGCTACATTAAAGATTTAGATTACGTTTTCATTTCGTATTTAACTTGCTGACAATGCAAAAGAGCAATTATAGACAATATAATTAAATTAACTGAAAGGAAAGAATAATATATATTAATTGTAAACGAGTGTTTTGATTTTAAAATTGTTCTTACTGTAATGTAGGTGTGAATATGGTGCATTAACAGGTATATGTATTTCTTAATTGTTCTTTTCGGTTGGAAAATCTTGATAATATTACGTAATAACGTACTGATTAAAGTAAAAAGATAATAAAGAAGCATTTGCTGCAGATTTATTAGAGGATTCCATGCATAGAGTAACGTAGTATTGCTTGCTGCTCACAAAGAAAATCTATTGAGTAACTGAGTACCTAAAACAAAAGTGATTAATACCAGGGAATAATTAATAATTGTAAGCATTAGGTCCATTTCATTAAGAAATTCTACTTCATAAAGAACACGATGTTTTCAAAGAACTTTTGTCTTCGCAAAGGCATCTTCCGGTGGAAGAGATATATTTCAATCAATTCTTTAAGCTGTTGCGTTCTTCAGGTATTATAAAACTATCGATAAAACTCTAACAAAAACTTAATTTTAATTTCGAGTATGATGGTATAAAAACTTACATGAAAGAATTGAAAGTACAGTAGAACCTTAATAACTTAAACCTTGATAAACGAATAATTTGGACATCGCAGCTCAGTAAGCAGTGAAAAGTGGTTTGAGTCGGGAGAAAGTCTTCTATGTAAAAGACGAAGAATTGCTGAATTTCCTAATTTATAAGAATGCTTATTGTTTAGACATGGTTTAGACAGTGTAGAAATAAAAGCATTATTGTTGATGGACCTATAGTAAATGAAAAAGCTGAAGAGTTTGGTAAGTCACTGGAAATCCATAATTTTAAAGCCTAAACTTAAACCCTTAGTAAGTAAAAACCTCAATAACTCAAATTATTTTACGTTTCCCTTGGTCTTTATCTTACCGAGGTTCTACTGTATTAGCTTTACATTTAGCAAATGTTGTACAGAATCATAAAATTTAATGAGTATACATATACTTTGTCCACCCCTTTCCAAAATTCACATCGTCCTGTATACTGACTTTCATTCATTAAAGTTCATTTTATGCCATATCGAGTAGGTATTCATAATCAAGTTCATATACCTGGTCAACCAAAAATTTGCTTCCGTTCGAAAATTTATTTTCAAAATATCTGTTTGATATATATGTACATACATGGGACGTTTGGCAAATTCACCTTTATTAACTTTCAAATTGCAACGCGCAGCCATATGTAAGTGGTTACTTTGACTTGGAAATAAATCGGATGCATATGATTATTGCTCCCTAACGTCTTTCGTACTACATCATTCTCACAGTATCGAAAGGAAATAGTTACCGATCTGAGCGGCTCTGATATATCTGTTTAAGTGTCCGAGTGCCTTAAAAAGGTATGACGTCAGTTTTCGAATCTTCGTAATACCACTAATGATTACAGGTAACATATTAACATTAAAAATCTATTTGCTTTATTTATACGTTTCATTTTTTTTACGAAATTAGTAATAATAATCAAATTAGNCGGCAAATGGTGTATTGTCTTTAGAGGAAGAACATTTCGTGAAATCAAAAGAATTTATACCTGAAAGGTGGATAAGAAATGGAGAAAAGGAAATTTCATGCAAAAATACTCATCCGTTTGTATTTCTACCGTTTGGATATGGACCTAGGGCTTGTTTGGGCAAAAGATTAGCTAATATGGAAATGGAAATCGTACTTGCAAGGGTAAGCCAATTTATACAAAAATTGTTTAAATATCTAAAGTAAGTATGAGCTTTTCTTCGGCAGGCCTCAGGAATAACGGGACCACATAGCAATGGGAAGTGACTTCTTTTTATTGAAGGCAACTCGACCCTGCACTATCTTCTGCTTTATATCCCTACTACTGACTTCCTAATAGATACCTAAAATCAATTACTTCTCCTGTCTTTATATTCGCTCTATCCCTACTTTTCCTTCATCCTCATACCAATATTTTTTTGTTTTATTTAAATGAAATTGTGGCAATTGCATGCTAGACTTCTATATATACGTTTTAATATTCGTAAAGATAGTTCAGCCTTGACCCAGGATATGAATGCACTTATTTCACTTGAGCCTACATATGTACGTACATGCATGAAAGTACTTATAACTCTCTACTGATGGAAAGATCGAAAAGTACATCGGGAAAGGCATTTAGAATACCGTTAACTTATTGCTAACTGTTTCGTAGTGATTTGTTTTACTAACACTATACATTCACCAACTGTGGCATGCGCTAATTATTTTTAAATATTCTGGTCATGAAAACAAGAAATGGTTACATAATACTTCCGCGCCTTAAATTTTGGCAAGTAATATAAACAGGAATTAGTCCGAAACATGGATAATGGCTAATCGTGACTTCTAAATTAACTTTACGAAAATTAGATCATATTGTGATACAACTAATTAAATTAAGATCGCTTAGGTATGTAACTGAATCCTTGTTTAAAACTTGTATCAGAGTCAAAACTTAATCTGTAGTACAAAAACTATACATTAATAAAGGTATGATTATACAAGGCATAACCAGGAAGAAGACGAAAATAAAATCCTTTCTAACTGAATAACTTATAATAAAAGTAGCTTCATATTTACTACATGACCCCTANGAATGGCCTCATGCTGATATGAAATTTACGACAACCCTAGTGCATGGTGTTGGAGATCCTTTAAAGCTGCGAGTGACGGAAGTAGATAAATAGTTCTTTATATTACCATAAAATAAAATATTTCAGTTGAAAGAGACAGTATTAATTTAGTTTCCTTTATAGGAAACATAACAGTAACCCCGTGTCGACAACCAGCTTGGTAACTATATTATAACAACTTGTAATTGTTATTGTTTGATTTACAACCGCAGTATGAAATCCTGTTATGCAATTAAAAAAAAGTTTTCGGTATATATAAAAAAAAAGCGGACAGACGAGTGATCCTATAAGAATTCAGTTTTTCATTCGGATGTACGAAACCCTAGCCCAATAACCAACTTAGGTCAGTAGTTTCAGAGGTAAGAGGAACACGAGTGATCATGTAGGGGTTCAGTTTTTCATTCGGAAGTGCGGAACCCTAAAAACAGCGGGTGTTTGTTAACCGCATTACCACACTTTAGAAATCGATTCTACAATTTGTATATTATGGAATGAAGAAGTCAGTGGGAAATGTTATTGAAAATGCCCTAGGTGGTTTTGTCTGCCCTTTTCACCACGATTTGCGTATGATGTGCATTTTTCAGGAATTAGTCGTGCGTACGCGTTCTTGTTACAATTTTGTGCTTTGGTCATGTATTTATGTTAATTATTCAATTTCTTGAAATAAAAAGGTCTTCTATTAGGAACAACTACGAATCTATCCAAAACTATCTAAAACTTGTTGTTGCAGTCAATACTCAGACTAGACCAATTTAAAGAAAATCCCTATTTCCAGTTCAGTAAAGTCTATAAATAATTTGGAAGTTACAGCAGATCAAACAATTGATGGATAAACTCAGATAGTTTATTACGAATCATACCATTGCAACTTACTTTTATAGCAATCACAACCATTAGTTTGTCGGATGGGAAACTTGATGTAACAAAGCCCAAAGCAACAATAATAATAGAAGATATTTTTTCGTTTAATTTAAACTCTCACCCCGTTAACCTACTGACCTGTTATTGTTTGAGTATTTAAACTAACAATTGCGACTACAATTATTTCCTTTTCGCGCAGAACAAAGTTTAAATATTGAAGAGCCATTTCCTTGGCATATTCATTCTTGTTATTAAACGTCCGGTTTCTAGTTTACTTTTTGATAGTTATTATAAATACATTGTATAAACATATATCAAGATAATGACTTGATGTTTTAAAGTTTAATTAGTTTTTCCCTTTGATAACAGTAGAAGCTTTCATTCATTTTATAAAACTCTTTGAACATGCCACACAAAAAATTAATACACTGTTGCAAATACAGTAGGAATTATATTTTCAAAAAGTTTCATCGTTTTTTATAGGTAAAACTCTATTGCGAATTGTAAGTTAATAATAACTCAGTAAGAAAACATGAGAATTATATATGTAGTGAAATTATGATTGTGACAAAAAATTTTGGGTACATTTTCGAGAAATTGTAAATCAGATTTTGAATTGTATCCAACAAACAATCAGTACAGTAAATCAATTATTTCAATAACAGTTTTTTCCTGATCATTAAAACGTTTTGAATGAAAAACTTACGAAAGTAATTCTCCACATCATATTGCCCTAAGACAGTACGAAACAATTCCACGCACAGGGTCAAAATTGTTCCAGAAAACACTCTTCTACTTGATGACCCAAATTTAGAACACCGTGGATACACTCTTTGGCGTTACAATGTTATTGTTTGCAGAATGAACTTCGTCGGTAACAGTTGATAGTGTACTACTACCGTAGTTTATCAGCTTTTCTTCGGCAGGNCAAAATTGTTCCAGAAAACACTCTTCTAGATGATGACCCAAATTTAGAACACCGTAGATGCACTCTTTGGCGTTACAATGTTATTGTTTGCAGAATGAACTTCGTCGGTAACAGTTGATAGTGTACTACTACCGTAGTTTATCAGCTTTTCTTCGGCAGGCCTCAGGAATAACGGGACCACATAGCAATGGGCACTCGCTCTGCTTTTGACGAAGACTCACTGAAATGGACAGCACCATTGGAAATGGTCACACGAAAGACTTCTTCGTGGTCGCAAGTCATTGTCAAGGTTTAGTGGAGTGCGACCAAAAAGTTTTTAATACCGAACAAAACGTTGTCTGTTCCTCTTAATAACAATTAAATACTTAGTCTATTAATGTCAATAGGGATTCCGTTAAATGTATTTCCGTTTCAATACTTTATTCTTAAATTGCCAGAATCCGTAAAGAGTCAGTACAAAGGGAATGTCAGACATTCATTTGTTTTCCATTTGATATGTTTTCTAAATTGGAGATGTTTTTTTTACGTTTACGCATGACTCAGGGTGGTAATTAATAATCTGAATATATTGGAATTGTTACGGTTAGAGTCATCTTAGAAGCAGAATCAGAAGTAAAGAGGGACAAAGAAAGATTGCTACTGTTTGCAAGTGGTTAGGGGTGTGGAATTTTCTAGACCTTGAGAAAAGATGAAGATTGACTCATGATAACAAGGAGTGGAGGTGCGTGCATGACTAGTAACGATCTTGAGATGATGATAACAGTTAATCAAAAATGCAGAATAAACTACGTATACAGCTCTAATAGTGTAATTATTATATGAACAAACCTTGTACATACGGAATGAACTGTAGCTAATAATAGTAAAATCAGCGAGGACCTACTGACCTGATATCTTTGATTGTCAATTTTTTACTACAATCATCCAGAAGAAAAAGATAAATGAACTTCTACTTCCCAGGTTCTTCTTTTGTAAAATGTTTTTAAAATAATAATATAGTTCTAAACGCTTTAGTTAAGTACCTACTACAATATATCAGGGACTTGTTTAGTTTATAAAAAGTAAGGGGTATTTTTTTTTGCTTTAAGAGAATTTTCCGATAATCTGATGAAACTGATTTCACATTACAGGTTGTTTCAATTGATGAAATAACTTTTAAACAAATTTACCTACAGAATTAACCTTTTCATTAATTTAATCAATATTAGTCGTTAAATAAATAATCGTAAATAAAAAATTTAATGGTAAGTAATATAAGCTCTATACTCTTTTGCATCTTCAAAAATCTATCGAAACCAGTGATAACCTACTTCAAGCTGTAAGTATAATTAATTCTCATTATAAACTACAGTTCATTATCCAATTAGAGCCTTTCAAATGCAACGGTTAGTTATAAATTGTTTTAAATGTATGGGAATTCATTCTAATTGTGTATTCTCCTATTGTATTATACTGAATACCTAACAGTTGATACCAAATTGTTCAATCATTTTTTGTGGTCAGTAATGAACCGTTTGTTGGCTGAACGTGTCTTTTTACAAATACAATAAACCAATCAAATTGGAGCATTGTACAATTTTGAAATCCTGATATCAGATAGAAGGGTGGAAAGTTACATTTTAGCCTTGTTTTAGTGGACAAAAAAACAGTTATACCTACTGATTTTCAAATTATAGCCACCCCGAAAATAAAAAGGTTTTAATCGATTTAAAATTTGTATATTTGTTGAATAAATCAGCAATTGAAAGCGTTAACTCTAAAAGGAGAGTAATGTGATCCAAATACGTGAAAGTGATTTCGAATTCTTTGTAATAATGCATGTGTATTCAATTTTGGCAAAATTTGCATTGGGTCACAGTTTGACGTCACCCAACGGCAGTATCTATTGGGTCTCAAACAATATCTGAAATGCAAATACCATCGTTAGTAAAAAATCCACTGTAAATAAGTGTTATATATTGCAAATATTGTTGCTTCGTTGCAGGGCGGCGACCACATAGCACAGAAATTAAAAAATGAACTTGTGGAGAGGCTTTCGTTTCTCTTTTACTTTTAAATAGCTACCCAGTGTTCCATTTCGGTAAAGAAAATTGAAAATCCAAATGTTAAATAAATAAATTTCACTATGCATGTTTTAAAGTACATCCTTGTTACAGCTACTTATTTCTGTATTTAATTATTATTTATTAGTGGATAAGCAATTACATATTAAATAGAAGAATTAAAAAAAAAAGTTGCCACAACGTTTTGTCAAGGAAAACAAGCTTTTCATACCCAATAATTTTGGAGTAATACGTACAAATAACATTACATAATATTAAAATTATTGATCATTCAAATACATATACAATGGAAACCGTTGTAACTGATTGACCCACGTAACTCATTAGCAACAAGGGGTAAATTTTGAAAGGTTTATAGGTTGACACAAAAATAATAAATTATCTAAAAGAAAAGATGATCCAAACTGATGCTCTTTAAAATAGAAAAATGTTGGTTTCAAAAGTACATCAAGATCCTATTAGAGCCAAACGCGAACCCTTTGATAGTCCCTCCTTCTACACTTCATCGTATCTTATTCAAGGATCAATGTGAATTATGTTTTGTAAAGTACATATTTGGTGTTTTAGTTTTATACTGTCGCAAAACTATTATAGATAGAAATAAAATCATTTTTTCTATGTATAGGTACATATGTAGTGTTTTAGTTTATAAATGCAGAATAAAGAGCTTAGCTAAGCATTAACACAGCGTAACAGCTACATTAAAGATTTAGATTACGTTTTCATTTCGTATTTAACTTGCTGACAATGCAAAAGAGCAATTATAGACAATATAATTAAATTAACTGAAAGGAAAGAATAATATATATTAATTGTAAACGAGTGTTTTGATTTTAAAATTGTTCTTACTGTAATGTAGGTGTGAATATGGTGCATTAACAGGTATATGTATTTCTTAATTGTTCTTTTCGGTTGGAAAATCTTGATAATATTACGTAATAACGTACTGATTAAAGTAAAAAGATAATAAAGAAGCATTTGCTGCAGATTTATTAGAGGATTCCATGCATAGAGTAACGTAGTATTGCTTGCTGCTCACAAAGAAAATCTATTGAGTAACTGAGTACCTAAAACAAAAGTGATTAATACCAGGGAATAATTAATAATTGTAAGCATTAGGTCCATTTCATTAAGAAATTCTACTTCATAAAGAACACGATGTTTTCAAAGAACTTTTGTCTTCGCAAAGGCATCTTCCGGTGGAAGAGATATATTTCAATCAATTCTTTAAGCTGTTGCGTTCTTCAGGTATTATAAAACTATCGATAAAACTCTAACAAAAACTTAATTTTAATTTCGAGTATGATGGTATAAAAACTTACATGAAAGAATTGAAAGTACAGTAGAACCTTAATAACTTAAACCTTGATAAACGAATAATTTGGACATCGCAGCTCAGTAAGCAGTGAAAAGTGGTTTGAGTCGGGAGAAAGTCTTCTATGTAAAAGACGAAGAATTGCTGAATTTCCTAATTTATAAGAATGCTTATTGTTTAGACATGGTTTAGACAGTGTAGAAATAAAAGCATTATTGTTGATGGACCTATAGTAAATGAAAAAGCTGAAGAGTTTGGTAAGTCACTGGAAATCCATAATTTTAAAGCTTAAACTTAAACCCTTAGTAAGTAAAAACCTCAATAACTCAAATTATTTTACGTTTCCCTTGGTCTTTATCTTACCGAGGTTCTACTGTAAATGATTCGTAATTTGTTTTCCAATTTGAACACGCAAAATTAAGCTCTTTAGAGTGGTTCAAGCCAATCTAAATTTGTATGATATGAAAGAGAGGCAAGATGTCGTAATCGAAAGGGAAACGGTTCATAATTAAAAATCAAAGATGGTTTATGGCAAAGTCTGACACGTCAACTAAAGTAAACTTTGCGATGGATAGAAATGTCATGAATTTGTCAGTAAAACCTTGTTACACCAAAGAGTGGCCAATGGAACCTCACACAACTGGTACATCCATAATGGCTGTAGAATTTATGGATGGAGTGGTACTCGGGGCTGATTCAAGATCGACAACCGGCGCGTACATTGCCAATAGATACAGTGACAAATTGACCAAAATTACCGACAACATTTACTGTTGTCGATCCGGCTCTTCGGCCGATACCCAAGCGATAGCGGACGTGGTGGCGTACACTTTAAATTTTCATCAGTCCGAACTCGGGGAATTACCCTTAGTACAGAATGGGGCTGCCATCTGTCGAGAACTATGTTACAATTACAGGGACTCTATTTCCGCTGGAATTCTCTTGGCCGGCTGGGATAGACGAAAAGGGGGACAGGTGTATNTAAATTAATAATAATAATCAGATTAGTTTTTGAAATCCTTTGAACTATCTTCCCCAAGGATGATATTAATAAAAAGTTGCGTTGCGAAAAGGGGCCAAATCCTCATTATTTGTTACGTAATCTCCAAGCAGACGTTTCGTCTTTTCGGTTCAAGTTTTATCAAGGTTACAATGTATTTATTATGAACACAAAATGTAGTTTTTATCTAGTTATTAGGAATATAATTTTTATTAGATTCAATTACATCAGACGAAGACATTGGAAGTTCCTTCTTTTTGAAATTCATGTAATGTTTTATCCTCAAATTATGGTTTTAATTTGATGTGGTTGATGTTATTGTAAAGAAAACCCATTAAATTCAGGTCTAGTTGAAAAAATCAAAACAATTGAAAAAACGTAATTCCCAAACTATCAAATATCATTAATACACTTTATGCATTTAAACTTTTCTACTTTCGCTTGGGGTTATTTTGCTTTCTTTAAATCCTATTAGAACGTTGGCCTCTGGCTTCTACTGTGTTTAGGTGTTTCACTCTTTTCACTGTGAATTCTGAAAAATGATCAAATTTTCCGTCATTTTCTTAAACAATACCTTTGTGGTTGTGGTAAGAATACTATTAATAAAGGCCTTCGCCTGGTGCAGAACGACTACTCGTTTCGATGAAGCATAACAAAATAATTTTTTGTTGAAATAAACCATTTATTCCAGCGTTCATAATGAAGATCAGAGGTGTCGTATATAACTTTGGTAAGCAAAAATTATCGACTTGTCCCGTTAAAGACGATGTTACAGTATTTAACAGACAAGTCTACTACCAGAAATTGGGATCCCAACAGGATTTCGATAGCAAGCCAAACGATTGGGATGACGCACTTCCGTTTGAAAAAATCCCTGGTCCAAAACCTCTTCCCATAATAGGAAATACTTTTAGATTTTTGCCCTATATTGGAGACTTCTATGGTGTTGACCTGAAGGAATTACAAAGGCGATTTTACAAACAATATGGTAGAATTGCCATACTAAAAGACTTGAAAGTAGCCAAAAACATAGTCCTACTATATTCTCCAGAGGATATAGAAAAGGTAACGGTCTAACGATGTAATTAGTTATAACACAAAAGGCAAATACTAAACTAATTGACAGACTATTTTCCAAAAAAAGTGTTTGTTTTTTAATACTACAGTACAAATAAATATGATATATATATAGATGAGATTTAATTGATAAGATTGATAATATTTTGTAGTTACATCGAAACGAAGGCGTTTGGCCTCACAGAGAGGTCCTTAATTCATTTACATACTATCGCAATATACTAAGAAAGGACATATTTCAAGGAATTGGTGGAGTAGCAACTGTGTAAGTTATAAAAGTTATAAAAGCTATCGCATATTTTAATACCTCCAGTGATCTGATTCTTTTATTTCAAAAAGGAATCTGAAACAAAATATTTCTAATGACTTTAATTCAATCATAACACAGGGTTGTAGAAATTCCTTAGTTGTTGTTGCTCTTTACGTTAAAATACAATATCGAACATCTTTAGGGTATCGAATCAGAACCGATTCATTCTCTTGATGTGAAGATGACAATTTAGGTGTTTGCCAAAAACCTTCTAACGTAGATATACTTTTACTTTTCTTTTACGATTAGTGTTGAAGGTTTTTCAGTTTCTCACAAATTATTAGTGCCTATTACATATTACAGGCAAGGAGAAGATTGGTTCAATATTCGTTCCAAAGTTAATCCAATACTCATGCAGCCAAGGATGGCTCATCAGTATATAGATAAAATGGATGAAGTTGCTGAAGATTTAGTAAAACGAATGAGACAGTTAGCTAACCGAAATAAAAACAGAGAAATGCCTCCGGACTTTATAAAAGAATTAAACAAATGGGCTTTAGAAGCAGCTGGACTAATTGCTCTAGATAGGAGATTAGGTACTTAGTTTACTTTTCTAGAAATCAGAATTAAAAGACCAAAAATTATTTGAAAATTGTTAATCGTGATTCTATAAATTCTGTCGTACGAGAAAGTGGAACAATATTTTACAAACTTGATTAATTTATTTACTCAATGTATTTTATATGATAACAGTAAAGCAAAAATGAATTATTTTTCTGTTGTCCAAATCTGCAGGTTGTTTAGATGATTTAGTCCCCGATTCAGAAACACAAAAGTTGGTAGATTACGTCATCGAAATGTTTTGGCTGATTTATCAATTCGACGTGTTGCCATCCCTTTGGAAATATATTAGCACTCCCTTATGGAAAAGATACATAACGGTGTTGGATTACATAACACTGTGAGTTCTAGCAACCAACGGATAGCTTACTATTATTTTTTTTAAAATAACTATTAATTTTATAGAACGTTTGTAAAGTATATAGACGAAACGGCCAAAAACATTGGTGACAAATTGCAAAATAAAGCGGAATATGAAATGAGCATTTTGGAGAGACTTTTGAAATTAGACCCACGTATTGCAAAAGCTACTGCTATTGATACACTAACCGCTGGCATAGACACGGTAAATACAAACGCTTAAAGTTAATTTCAATTAATTACCAAACTAAGATAACGCAGAGCAAGGGTAAGGGTTTCACGGTTGGCGTTTTTTGAATAGGGTGTAATAATCGGGTGGATGAATATCTTCTGATTTGCCCAAAGATGACTACTAGACCACGGTCATCAAACCCAAATAACTAACTCTCTCCCAAAACAAACGTTCTTCTTAGATACTTAGTAATTCAACACCTGAAATCACATTTTCATTCGATTCGATATTGTTTTCCGGTTTGCTTTGCTGTGAATTCCCAAAAAATAATATCGAATCAGTATCTGCCGGCTGGGAAAGTCCAGAACTACAGGGCCATTATTATTGCTACGGTAACTTTTCTGTTTTGGGCTTTTCCGTCGTTGCTCCGACGTTTCGTCAGGATGATCGTCTTGGTCGAAGTTTTCTGTGCGATGGTACGTGAAAGTAAATTACGTACCAAAAACGCCGACCGTGAAAGCCTACACTGAACATATTCACTTTTTATGAAGTTTCTTCTGTAACTAGTGGCTAATTAGTTAATTAAAGAATGCTTGTATCATCATGCTTTCATAACATTCTATTCCCTCTAGACTGGCAAAACTACCGGAGCAGCCTTATACTTTTTAGCACGGAATCCAAAAGTACAGACCAAATTAAGGGAAGAACTCTGCAGAGTGCTCCCAACCAAAGAGACACCAGTTACTAAGGAAATACTTGCAGAAACACCTTATCTTAAAGCAGTTATTAAAGAAACTACTAGATTCTGTCCAATTGCCATAGTAAATATAAGAAAAACATTGAAGGATCTTGTTCTTGGAGGATATCAGATTCCAAAAGGGGTACCGACGCCTTGATTAAGTTACGATACTTACTTATATAGATATAATACACTTTTTAGACCATTGTTCACACGGCAAATGGTGTATTGTCTTTAGAGGAAGAACATTTCGTGAAATCAAAAGAATTTATACCTGAAAGGTGGATAAGAAATGGAGAAAAGGAAATTTCATGCAAAAATACTCATCCGTTTGTATTTCTACCGTTTGGATATGGACCTAGGGCTTGTTTGGGTAAAAGATTAGCTAATATGGAAATGGAAATCGTACTTGCAAGGGTAAGCCAATTTATACAAAAATTGTTTAAATATCTAAAGTAAGTATGTGAATACCACAGTGATATCTTCATAAAAAATACAAGAAAATAAACTTTCTTTAAATCAGGATCCTTACACAGTGTATTCCTAACCGCCATCTATAAGGATTCAATTTCGTTAACATACGCCTTATTAGATGGCACTGGGGGTATGTTTAAAAAAGCAAATTTAGTTTTGAAATACGTAAAAATCCAAATACGTATAATAATTATTGCCAATTGTACAGTAGTGGGACTCAATTTTCCATTATGAAATATGATAATCAGTTCCAATATGTAGATACTAAGTTGAAACAAAAAAAATTTAAATTTTCTGAGCTTTCCCAAGATGAATTATCTATTTTCAACATCCTGAAGATGTGCCAATCGCCAAAAAATTTCTTTTCATAAAGTTGGAGTGGAGCCCCAGTAATGCACAATTACTATGAATTTTATTTTTCCACGATTTCTTAACAATTTATTATTTCACCTTTTGTTTAAATTTCTATTAGATCATAAGAAATTTGTTTCTTGAATGGCCTCATGCTGATATGAAATTTACGACAACCCTAGTGCATGGTGTTGGAGATCCTTTAAAGCTGCGAGTGACGGAAGTAGATAAATAGTTCTTTATATTACCATAAAATAAAATATTTCAGTTGAAAGAGACAGTATTAATTTAGTTTCCTTTCATATTAAAAGAAAATATATTATTTCTTTAACAAATTACTAATTGATACTTTTTTTATCATTTTCATAATTACTAAGAGAAAGTGGAAGAATGTTTTACAAACTTGATTAATTTATTTACTCAATGTATTTTATATGATAACAGTAAAGCAAAAATGAATTATTTTTCTGTTGTCCAAATCTGCAGGTTGTTTAGATGATTTAGTCCCCGATTCAGAAACACAAAAGTTGGTAGATTACGTCATCGAAATGTTTTGGCTGATTTATCAATTCGACGTGTTGCCATCCCTTTGGAAATATATTAGCACTCCCTTATGGAAAAGATACATAACGGTGTTGGATTACATAACACTGTGAGTTCTAGCAACCAACGGATAGCTTACTATTATTTTTTTTAAAATAACTATTAATTTTATAGAACGTTTGTAAAGTATATAGACGAAACGGCCAAAAACATTGGTGACAAATTGCAAAATAAAGCGGAATATGAAATGAGCATTTTGGAGAGACTTTTGAAATTAGACCCACGTATTGCAAAAGCTACTGCTATTGATACACTAACCGCTGGCATAGACACGGTAAATNAATTATTTCATTTGTTCAGTTTTAATGGCGTATATGTACGTTCCGTTACCTTTATTGGGTACCAATTTAATTTGAACGAATGCTCGTTTGAACAAACTGTTAATTCGTTATTAGAAAATTAATAAGATAAACAGTAATATACTTAATTCTTCCACATAAAGCAGAATGGAAAAGTATTTTAAACAAGGGAATCTATATTTTCTGATATTATTTTCTTGTTTCCTCAAAATCTATCGTCTATAAATTTATGATATATAGTTTTCTGAATTACACGCGACATAACGGTTGAAATAAATTTTACTGTCGTAGGTACTTATATATCTACAATATGTCGGCAGGTAGCCATAATGTCGTTCGAATATTATATTACATGAAAATAAAATAGGTGTTATATACGGTGTCCCACCTAAGACCCTTTTCCCTATAGCGGCATTATTATTAGTTTTAATATTATATATAAAAGAAATTGTTAGTGCTGTCAGCATAGGGTAAAATAGTATTACATAAAAGAAAGGTAGTATCAGCAATTTCTTATAGTTTGAAGTGTACGATGTGTTGCATACCAATTTACAAACAATTCTTTTAAATTTTAATCATTGATTACTATACGTCTATGAAAAACCATAATGGCCGACATCAGTAACAATGCGATAACAATTGAAAAAGAATGATGGCCGACAACTGCAACAATTAGAAAAGAATGATGGCCGACAACTGCAACAATCAGAAAAGAATGATGGCCGACACTACGTCATAGTGAAGCAATAAAAATGACCGAGGGCAGGGGGAAGAACTAATTAATTTAATAATTAATTTCAGCAGAACCTCAAAGCCTTACATGAAGGCACAATAAGATTATGCAATTGTAAAACTGAACATTTTGTATTAGCTGTAAATATTCATTGCATGCTAGACCATCAAAACGTGGATTGTAGCATAGCTTTCAGAAAAGTGCTTGTAATTCTTAAACGGCTGACTTTAGGTATAGGATATGTTCACAAAGATTCTGTTTTTTATTCCTCATTCGTTGACGTATTAAAATACAGGGTGTTCTATTCAGTCAACGAATGAGGAAACAAAGATTCTGTTTTTTATTCCTCATTCGTTGACGTATTAAAATACAGGGTGTTCTATTCAACTTAAGCAAGTTTTGGTAGTTTGAAGTTACCAGAATTGGGCGCTTAATAGCGAGATTCCTGTATATTTTTAAGCAATTTATTTTTAATAGTGCAAGACATCGGAACTCTCGGTATCCTGTACCAAAGCATAAACTGTTAAAGTTAATTATCGTGACAAATAATAAATTATAATTGTCAACCTACTATTGACATAAATTTTCAAAAAATCCTTACATCTCGTAAACTATCAAGATTTCAGGCACATCGTTTTTAATAAAATGGTCTTTGATTTTACCACAGAACCGAAATATTTAATAAAATACTGGGTGGTCCATATAAAATAACAAAGTTGGGTATTTACCAGTGAAGACTGGATACCCTGTAGATTCACAAATAATTTTGAGAAGTGCACAATAAAAGTAGAGATATACGAAACATTTTTACCTAAAACTAATATTACCGCTATAGAGAGAGGGGTTTTAGGTGGGACACCCTGTACTGGCTAATTTGTTATTACTACTGTTTAGTTTTTATTCTTATAAAATTGTGGCGTAACTAGCGTTAGTAACGTCCAGGACGGACGCTGCGCAATCATCTTATTATAATTAAAATCAGAACAAAAAACACTATATTTCCATGTATTTTATTTATTTATATTTATAAAAAAAAGCCAAGAACCTGCTCAGCACACAAACAAGTTTCAGTATTACATAATGCTACATTAGCATATACAAAGCATGTATTATCGTAATTCTAAACAAATATTAAGTAAATACTTATTCCCCAATTATAAGTTTAAAAGATCGCAATTTTCAGTAGGTATACAAATAAGTATTAGATATAAATTACTAAAAATGGTTATTGATATTTCTTTCTAGTATAATTTTAGATTATTAGCAAATTACAAATACTCAATGGGTACTACGTTAATTATGCTACTTTCACATTATAATTTTTTCGATTTTCCCATGCCAATTGCATTGCCCAAATACTTAAAGGTCGCATATACGAAACAGACCGATACACTTTAACTGCAAAGAGAGCTTCTGGTGTTTCAAAAGCCAGTCCTATTTGGTATTCAAGTGTTTCACTCATACCTCCTGCCGTCTGCCAAGCCTCTTCTAACATTTCCTAAAAAAATTATATTAGACTTTTCTGATGAAATATGTTAATTTACTTTCGTTTTTACTTACTTCTGCCAACATGCCAGCTGCAAGTCCATATGTAACCCCCGTCCAGGACTCTTCACTTTGAATTGTACCTTCGTCAACTCCGCCGTCAACAATATAACCGTTTACCGCCCCCAATTTTCCGTTATAAAATTGCTTTACATTATGCTTAAATATTACGTCAAATGCACTTCTTACTTTGTCTTTGGGGAATACCTGAAACAAAACGTATAAGTTATTATTTATGATTAGATTGTTCTATTTCTTTTAGTAATGGATTTCTACTCACCGAATAGTCATCAATACCACTCACTTTCAAATACCAGTGAGCACAAAGCTGGTCAGCCATTATAATTTTAGGGTTTTCTGCGTCAAAACTGTAAAAGGATCCGTTCCATAATTTTTTATCAAACGAAGCAGTACCCTTTTTCAAAATGTTTTGATATTTTTCTTTAGCTTGTTCTTTTCCCAATTCGTTGCATATTTCTATCATTGCACGCAGCGCAGCTAACCATAATCCACCGCAATAGGCACTGAATTGGAATAATGATAGTAACTATCAAGTTAGCTTTATAAAAGTGTATTCTTTTATGGTTCTTTTTTTTAATTTTTACTACCTTTTGTGGAATGTTTCAATTTTTGTAGTAAACAAATTTTAAATAATTCAGAATTTCTTTAACTATATGCATGGTGTATTTCGTATTTATACCTTGCACCAGTCATTATCCAAGAGTCGAATGTTTGGTCAGGAGTTCCGGAGTTTTCTATTAGACCATCACCATCTTCATCGAATTTTTCGAATTTCTGCATTATTATTTTCAATGCACCGTACATATCCTCTAAATATTTTCTTGTATCCAAATGAGCTTTCTTTTTCCATAATGTATAATCTCGAAAGACCTCTAAAACGAATTTTACACCGAGGTCTCTCCATTCGCTCACGTCGTGTATGTTGTAAGCGTTTATTCGAATAAACGGTTCTTCCCCTAAAAAGTTTTTGTTACACTGAGCATGGAAACAAAGAATATTTTTATTTACATGGATCGCCAATATCGTGAGGTACCGTGTTTTTAATTTTACGTTCTGCTCGTTTTCCATCATACAATATCCATGCCATATTATTCATTTCCATGAAAATAGTATCCCTTATTTCGTATTGGAAAACACGCTGAAGTTGAGGCCAGTTCATTGCAAAAGCAAATGAAGCGTAAAAATGAACGTCATAAGTATTATACATTCTGTATTCAGCCCCTTCTAAAATCGCAAACTGACCATATTTCTGCCTACAACAAATTCATGATTAAGTGGGATAAATTAGTATTAATAGTTGCTGTTGGTGTGATTTCTTTTACCTGGGATCACTGGCAGGCATTGTTTTACTTTTTTCTTCATCAATGTCAAGCCATACCGTCCCTCCGTCGGATATAAAATATGTCTGATTAAATAATACACCTTTATACCAATCGGGTAGTGCACTGTAAAATATTTTTGAAATATCGCACAAAAAATGTTACTGATTAATATTTACTCATCATTTAAAACAGATTCTTGCCACTTATAAATTTCTTTTTCCCAGTTTCTGTAATTGTTGAATGCATAATCCATTATCTTTAATGAAGTATTTTCTCGCCCAAATATTTTAGTATAGTACCTAAAGTATTTTTTTTCATTTAAATGGAAATTAATGTTTGGCATATCCCATACTAAGCAAAATTCTATATTCTGTTGTTGAGATGGAAATAATAAAACTTGACTAGCAATTGCGCAACCCATTTCTTTGTAACTTTCAGCTGATTTCTCTACAACATTATCAAATCGTCCATTATCATGGAGTTGCTTCCATACTTTTGATCCATCAGAGTTAGGGTCAAAATACATGCATTTACTAATCGCCCTGTTGGTATCTGCTTTAGTAGCTAATGTATAGGAACAGTTCATTTTATCAATTTGATGGTGAATTACAATACCCTCCTTGTCCAGGTAGGAAAATCCCTTCGCTCTACACGCATCTAAAGGAAAGAGAAAAGTATTGATGGTAAACAAGGTCTTTGTTTTAGGATCAAACTGATTCTTGCTCTCTGAAAATTGTCTTTAGAAACTTACAAGCCTTGTCAGAATGCTTATCTCCAGTACCGTTTTTTATAGTTAAAGCTATTGTAATGGTTCTTTCTTCATTTGAAAAATTTTTAACTTCCCACACAAAAATACCACAAGGCAGTGAACTATCCTAAAGGAAAAAGCTACCTAATTTAAAGTTTACCAAATTTATTAAAGACTTACTGTATAATTATGTGGAATTACTGGACTTATTTGTCGACATATAAGAATAATTCCATATTCAGAAAGATCATATTCTGTCCATGCTCTAGGGTACAATCCAGTGTATTTACATTGTGATCCTTTAATAACATTCTTCCATGCTTTAAGGGTTTTTCTTCTATAGAAACAAAGTAAGTTTTTAAATGATATGCCAAAAGGTTGATATATCTTTACTTGTATGTTGAAAGAAGACTTTGTAAAATGGTTTCCTTCTTTTCATTTTTTATGGTTACAATAAATTGATTTGCCTCTACTACATGATATTCGGTATTACCGGGACGTAATGTATAACGACAGAACTCTCCTTTGAACCCTCGACCAATTGTACCAGACCCTATTCCACCCAGTGGTACACCTAGTATCACAATATAAATGTAACTATCTGTATAATGGTCACAACTTACATTTTAACATGGAAAATGTTTTTACATTTTACTAATAATTTCTCTAAAAATTTACTGGTCCTTTCTGCAAGATATATCAGGGAAACATGTTCCTTATTTCTTTATATTAGTTTTTAAAGAAATATTGAAATTAGTTTTAAATGAGAATAATTCATTATTTATATATTGGCAATATACATACTGTTGCACGTTTTATATATCAGATATATATGTTCTATATAGGTGAGTCTTATTATTATTTATGATTATTAATGATCTCTCTTTTTTAATAAAAGTACTTCTAAATTAACTTATTGAATTACCATAAATACGTAGGGCCTGAACAGGTTTGATGTAATCCATGGTGGGTTTCCTTTTGTGCCACCAAGCGATGATATAGTACCAAAGGTACCTTCAAAAAGTGACAAAATTATAAACTGCTAATACTGTTTTGGTTTTAAATGTACCTTAGCATTAAAGGCAGTAACTGTATTAACTGCTTAATTTTTAGTGGAATACGGGGTGTCCAATTTTCAGGAAATTGATAATCCAATGATACTTTGAATCCATATTTGGGAACTCTTGCCTCTTCATCAGATTCCATAATTTATATTTTAGCACAACAAAGCTCTTTTATAAATACAATGAACTATGTCACTTTACCTAAAACTTACAATAAAATATTTAAATGACTCAGACCCCACGTGATCACAATTGAAATATTTATTTGTTAATGATCTGGACTTTATGTAATATACTGGATAAAAACTGCAATTATAATATATAGAGAGATAATGATGCTGATAAATTTGAATGTAGATAAAAAAGTTATTCATCTATACAAACCACAAAATCAGAGTTAGTAATAAAACATGTATGCTTATGATTACACAAAAAAGGTTTACATTCGTCGACAACTATTTTATTTTAGGAATAATGAATCTATATGTACGCTATCACCTTATTACAATAAAAAATAACTATTGTATAAATATATTTTGAATAATCACCTTTACCTTTACGTAGGGACCTCACAATATCAGAACTCTTGGGGCTCTTAAAATAACACAAAAAGTTGTATTTCAAACGCGAATTTCACTAAAAATAGTTTAATCATTGATTAGAGTTTAATCAACGTAAAAACAGTACATAAACTTTCTGTTGTTCATAACTATAATATAATAACTTCAAAAACTTTCGTATTCATAAATGCTAGGTTAAGAAAAAGTTGACAGATGGATAAGAAAGTAGTGTATGGATGCCCAAGTAAAGTGAAAGTTTGGTAGTAGCCAAACTACCACCTAGTAAAATTGTTTCAAAATGAAATTGGCTACTTTGATAAAATATGTTTAATCATTTAATAATAACTGTTAAAATCCAATTTGTCATCTACTAGATCTGATATCTCAATTAAAAAAAAAAAAACAATTCGTCAGGTAATAATTTATTCTTATTTATTTTATTAGTTATGTATAATATAAGGAATTGTTATAGAGTGAATATGATAAATTTCCAAGAGAACAACTTTAAAAACAAGTCAATAAAAAAATATGATAAATCATTCAGGAGTTTCTTTTACTTTGAATCGTAAAGGATCAACGATTTCATAGAACAATTTCGCAGTAAATTTGGCTGGTGGATGTAGCCACTCTAACTCAAAATTTCTGATTATCTAAAATGAGTTTTAAATATTAAGTTAGTTCAGTTACTGATTTTTTCTATAAGTGAACGATATTATTCTTATCTTTCCTAAAATAATTAAAAAAATTACCCTTGCTATGAGGAGTTCCAATTCCATAGTAGCAAGCCTTTGACCTATGCACGATCTTGCACCGAAACCGAATGGAAGGTAAACAAATGGATGTGTGTTTTTGTGAGATGTTTCACTGGTGTTTGTTCGTAACCACCTTTCAGGTATAAATTCTCTAGGGTGCGGAAATTGTTGTTCCGAAAACAAATTTTGGTAAGCGCACATTTGTATCAGTGTCTGAAAAAACATTTAGTCGGAGAGTTGGGCACGAGATCTCAATGTTAATATGGATAAAATTTACAGTAACATTTGAAATACACTTAGACTTTCGGACTTCCAATCTTGTCTTTGCGTCGCCATCTCACGAAAACAAAACCTTCAACACAAAAGAAACGAAAAGATTCCATGTGAATGCGGTCAGTTCTAGATTGGGGAAACGAAGAGACCGTTGGAAAACCGCATAAAAGAACATTAATTACACACCAAGAAAGGAGGAAGTACAGGATCCGGTATAGCAAAACACGCCTGGACAATCACAAAAAATTGTTGAAAGAAGAATTTCCATAAGGAAGAGCAGTGGTTCCGACATAATTTTACAGAAGCAGCATTTCAGCAACAATCAACGTTTAGCAGACCAAGGGTAGAAATCAGGAACATACGGAAACCGTCGTTAAAACTAATTCCAATCAATTGCAACAAAACGTCTCACCCGGATATTCACTTAATGAATTAGTAGTTTTAAGTTGATGACGAATGGAGATATTACACGGTCGAAACATTGTAACTCTATAAAGGCATATGGAAGTCCGATAGTGCATTTCTAACACAACCGTGTCTGCAACTTTAAAATAGACTTTACGGTAACATGTTCGGATAATAAAGGCGTTCAGCAGCAAAGGGGTAAAAGTGCCTTATTTAGTTTTTTTAAATACATCATCGAGGTGGTGTCCAAAATTTACAGAAATGTAGTCCTCAGTATGCTTGAGTTGAAACAAAAGAGACGTCAGATAGGTGAACAGGGGTGAAGTAGAGAACAATTATTAATGAAAATAAAATTGAGAATATGAAGAATTTAGAGTAAATCAGTGTCAAGAAGAGTATTCCCAATTATCAAGTTTGTCGCACTTTTATCTTCTGTATTTACTCGTCGTTCCCACTCAACCCCCCCTCCTCTATTATCCGAACAAGTTGCCGTGGAATTTGTCCAAATTCTGAACAATGTTGCAATCTCGTACCTAAACTAATTAGAAATGACAAGAGGTACAAATTAAAATTCATAACTCACCCCTTTGGGAATTTGGTAACCACCAACCACCATATCTTTTGTGGCAGTCCTGACGTTAGCAACCGCAATTCCTCCCATCCTTAGTCCTTCCTTAATAGATGCTTTTAAATATTTAGCATTCGCTAAAGTTTCTTTGGTAAAGGGTGAATCTTTGTTAGGTAACAATGTAACAAGCTCTTTTCTCAATTCATTTTGTGCTCGTTTGTGAGATGCTAAAAAGTATAAAATCGCACCACCACTTTTACCAGTCTAAAATATATGTATTTATGTACATTACATTTAGATATATGATCTACTCATATGTATATACCGTGTCAACGCCTGCAGCAAGCAAATCTAAAGCCAGTACATTTGCTACTTTTTCATTAACACTTAGAAATCTTTGCAACATGCTCTTATTACTTTCCGATGAACTATTTTCGTATCTTATTTTGGCCTCCTGAATATGTTTACTAAATGCGCTGTAAGTAAATGGTATGGTGAAGTTTTGATTAGGCATTGATATTATTATTTGTGTTACTTTATAATTACGTCAAAATGCTTTACAAATTCATCTCGATTTTTTGTATTAATGTATTGTAATAGAGAAGGTTCGAACTCAAGTTTATACATGTACTCAAACATTTTATGCACAGAATCGATTATTTTTTGAGCTTCTGAGTCAGGATCTAGATTACTGTCCAAACAACCTGAAAAGTATTTATGAAATTTAAAGTTGTTACAAGCACAGCTCGAAGGTTGGACGTCTATAAAACATCAATAAATGTGTGCATTATAATTGAACCAAAAGCAGAATCAGGAAAACCATATCGTGCTTCCGTATTTACCCAATCTCTTGTCCAAACCCAGGAAACTGACAGATTCCAATGACCATTTGTTTAGTTCGTTCAAAAAACTTTCTGGCATCATGCCTTCTTCTTTATTATCCAAAAGGAATCTTATTCGTTTAATAAAATCTTGGGAAACGCAATCAATTTCTGGGATGTACATTTCTACTGATCGAATTTGATTCAAAATTGGATTTGCTATCGATCTCATTTTATGCCAATCCTTTCCGTTTCTCAAAAGAAAGTAATTGGTAAACCGCTTCAATAAAAATGCCTAATATCTGTTAAGCTTATAGAAAATACTTACGAAGCAACAAGGGAATATAGATCATCATAAATATCCTTTCTAACGTTTGCTTGATAGTATTCAATACTTTTGAAAGATATACGTTCTGGCCACGTCCCCTCATTTCGAAAAACCTGTACAATCAATATTAGTTTGTTGATGAGAGTTGAGAGTATTTTGTATTATTCATACCGCTTCTATATCTTCTGGTTTATACAAAAATACAGTGTCTCCTTTTACAAATCCGCGCACTGCTGCTATATCGCCATACTTTTGGAATCTAAAAGAAGACATTCAGAAGACACTTTCATTTCAGTCATTTCTATCTGTAATACTTAGGTACATGCCTGCACGTATTCATAAATTTTTGAGTGGAGAACTTCTGCAATTTTTTTATTGACTTTTTTAAAGTTTTGCGAGATCGTATAGAAGGAATAAAAATATTCCCCGAAAAGGGAAAAGCTAGAATTTTCGGTAGGATCTTTTGTTGCATGTTTGCCAATAAATATGTACTTAATAACTGATTATAACACGTAGGTAATGTGATCCATATTGATCATTTGTTCGGGATTACGTGTAACGCACATATTTATGTTTAATCTTAAAACACCTGACTTACGTAGTAGAAATTACCAAGAGGGCCATTTTTAATGAGTTAAAATGACACCAAAAGACACATTTCAATAAAAACGAGCAATTTTATTTCTCTTGAAAATGGTTGCTGATTACTGAAACTATTTATTTATTAGAGAGTTAAACAAACGTATAGATTTTATTAATTTGGTGCCTGTATCTCTACTTTTTTCTTTTTAATAGAATAATAATCAGTAATTAATAAACAGCGTTAAAATTGTTATTGAGTTAAATTTCATCGATCTTCGGTTTTTAAGCTTACCCAGTCATAAATGCAATTGGGTCTGTTCCATTAAAGTCACCAATGATTGGTATAAATCTCCACATATTTCCCAGGAGTGGTAACGGTTTAGGTCCAGGAATTTCGCTGAAGGGTTTAGCATTATCCCAATTATCTGGCTTAGAGGCTGCCTCTTGTCTAACTTTTTGTTCCAAGTTTTGTATCCTTTGACTTTCAACATTTTCTGCTGCAGCTACAGTCGCTCTATACCGTCGAACTTCGGCAAATTTTTGCATAGAATTTCTGGCTGTTCTAGCCGAATGTAGTAATTGACGATACATGCTGATTTAAATATTTGTAGTTTTTTATTAACCGTTATAATCTAAAAGTTTTATTTTATTCACTTCTTCTTTTCACCAATCTTTCTGTTACTAAACCTAAGGATAGTAATTAATATAAATATTAATACAAAGTATCAATTACTGTATGCTTTGATATTACAATTTTTAAAAACAGCTATGGAACGAGTAAACTAATAGAATAATTCATACTATGCTTGCGAACGGTTAATTTAGAAATTCGGAAGAGGTTGTTAAAGGTGTATGTTTGGAGCGCGGCGTTGTACGGGTGCGAAACATGGACAGTGGGCGCGGCGGATAATAAAAGGTTAGAAGCATTCGAAATGTGGTGTTATAGATGAGGATAACGTGGATAGAAAAGGTTAGAAATGAAGAGGTGTTAGAAAGGATAGGAGAACAGGGGACTCTTATGTATGTCAATAAGAAATAGGCGAGATAGGTTGGTAGGACACCTTCTCAGGCATGAAGGTCTAGTCAGAGACATATTAGAGGCAGAAACAGGAGTTAGGAGGGGTAGAGGTAGACCTAGATTAGATTACTGTTCACAAATAATAGTTAAGGATGTGGGTTGTTCTAGTTTAAGGAAAATTCGAAGTTTAGCTCAGGTTAGGAAAGAGTAAAGGTACGTGTCAAACCAGTCTTAGGACTGTAAACCTTATGATAATAATTTGACAAGTGCACATTTTGCTGTTTTTGGATTGTGGAAATCTATTTATATGAATAGATATTTATCTGATAGACAGCGACTGAGACTTCGAGATATAATCTACGTTCACGTTATCAACGCAGCACTGGCACTGAGGATGTCAGCCGCAGTAGCTGACGAAACGTCTGGACATAATAGTTCACTTAGACCACTTCCCTACAGCCCCTATCTTCATTCTACTATGGATTCTGGCCGTGATAGTCTTTGTTCTTATATTATTTATATGAATATTGATGGATTAAACAAGGAACTTATCGAGATCCGTAGATTATAAAAGTTAATGAAAACAACGTTAGAAGTTTGATATTGACGGTATAAAGAAACGATTATTTCTTATTAAATAATAATAGTTATGAACTTACTTGCTAGTAAAATGTTTATCGGTAATGCACCTATTTAAAAAATGAATTGGTCAACTTAAAGCGCAATTACCTACGTTCGGATACTGTTTGCGAAAACTATTATTCTTTGTAAAAACTATGCCAAGTTACTAGAGTTAAAGCTAAATAACGGTCGACAACAATTTGCCACATTCACTCATACAATTACCTATTAAATTATAAAGTGTTATTTTAGATGATAGCACGACGTCATTTTCAATGACACCGACCACGATGTAGTTGTTTAAAAACAAACTCGATTTCACGATTTCCAAATTTTCAGCAAACACTTACCTGTTAAATAACGTACGCTGCTTTGTAACAAATATGGCTATACTTTATTTATTATTAAACACCATGCTATATAGATTTTGTCTGTGTTTACAAGGTTGAGTACAAAATATGTTATTTGCATAGTTTCGCTTAGTTATCGCTTTATATTAAAAAAATAGAATATGATAACGCGTCAGTTAAGATTAAATAAGTATCTCTTATTGCATTCACGCTTGTTTTTATGAACATTCCACATTATACGTTGTTCATAGGTCATGATTTGCGAAGGTAGGTTTTGTTGGATTATTTTAGAATACATTCTTTCTTCTGAAAAACCGTCGCTTTTGGTTGTCTATTTACCGTTTCTAAATTCTTAACAGTTTCCACCTCTATAAATAACATTCACGATCAACTAATTGTAAGAGTAGTACTTATATATAATACGTAATATCTAAAATTATGTAACAACAAATCGCGCAAAATAATAACAATGATTTAAAAACAAATTAAAAATTACCGTTAGAGCTTAATTTATAATTTTATACCTTGTGATTTATTGAATTATGTATAAATTTACAGATATTGCAAATAATTACATTAAGGTATTGTGCTATAATATGCATAACGGAATAATTTAATACGAAGATACAACACAAACATTAATTTCACAAAAATTATTCCATTGTAAACTAACATGGCGTATATTTTTACATGATATTTGTTAAAGTTGCAACATTGCAATGAGGGCATCAAAAACTTGCATACTTTTGTGTGAAAGTATAATTTTGTATGCATCCCATTTTGAAAGGTTAACAGGATACCTTCCCCTTCGGTCTAATTTCGAGGGGTCAGTCAAAATTCGCATAGAAAATGTTTATTCCTTCTCCATATGTACTCAATTCTTAAAAAAAAGAACTAATTCGTCAGGTAATAATTCATTCTTGTTTATTTCATTAATTAGGTGGTACATTCAAAAACATAAGCAATTATAAAATAGAATGAATTTGGTATATTTCCAAAAGAACACCTCTGAATAACTTTAAAAACAAGTCAATAAAAAATTTATGATAAATCATTCAGGGGTTTCTTTTACTTTGAATCGTAAAGGATCAACGATTTCATAGAACAATTTCGCAGTAAATTTGGCTGGTGGATGTGGCCACTCTAACTCAAAATTTCTGATTATCTAAAATGAGTTTTAAATATTATGTTAGTTCAGTTACTTGTTTTTTCTATAAGTGAGCGATTAATCCTTTCGTAGAATCAAACCGGCATTTAATTTATAAATCTAATTTGTAAACATATAACCTACTGAGCGACTGATATTATTGTTATCTTTCCTAAAATAATTAAAAAAATTACCCTTGCTATGAGGAGTTCCAGTTCCATAGTGGCAAGCCTTTGGCCTATGCACGATCTTGCACCGAAACCGAATGGAAGGTAAACAAATGGATGTGTGTTTTTGTGAGATGTTTCACTCGTGTTTGTTCGCAACCACCTTTCAGGTATAAATTCTCTAGGGCGCGGAAATTGTTGTTCCGAAAACAAATTTTGGTAAGCGCACAAATGAATTAGTGTCTGAAAGAATATTTACTTGGGCACGAGATCTCAATGTCAATATGGATAAACTTTACGGTAACATTAGAAATACACTTGGACATTCGGACTTCCAATCTTGTTGGAGATTCGCCAACCACTTTGGAATAAAAACAGAATTTTTCATGTCCAACACTGCGTCGCCATGTCACGAAAACAAAACAATCAACACAGAAAGAAACGAAGAATAAGATTCCATGTGAATGCGGCCAGTTCTACATTAGGGAAACGAAGAGACCGTTGGAAAACCGCATAAAAGAACATTAATTACACACCAAGAAAGGAGGAAGTACACGATCCGGTATAGCAGAACACGCCTGGACAATTACAAAAATCGTTGAAAGAAACAATCAACGTTTAGACATCCAAGTGTATAAATCAGTAACATATGGAAACCGTTGTTAAATGTAATTCCAAAGCTGCAAATCAATCAATTGGAACAGAACGTCACACTCAGATAATCACTTAATAAACTTAGTACTTATATAAATCTCGTAGTTTTAAGTTGATGACTCCATAAAGGCATGGAAGTCCGAAGTGCATTTCTAATACAACCGTGTCTGCAACTTTAACACAGACTTTATGGTAACATGTTCGGATAACAAGGGCGTTCAGTAGAAAAGGGGTTAAAACGCCTTATTTAGTTTTTTAAATACTTCATTGATATGGGGCCCAAAATTTACACAAATGTATTTTTCGGAATGCTTACTTGAATTCCGAAACAGCGAACGTGTGAGTTAAAACAAAAGAAACGTCAGACAGGTGAACAGGGGTGAAGTAAAGAAAAATTATTAAAGAAAATGAAATTCAGAATATGAAGAATTAAGAGTAAAGCAGTGTCAAGAAGAGTATTCCCAATTATCAAATTTGTCACATTTTTATCTTCTGTATGTACTCGTCGTTCCCACTTAACCCCTCCTCCCCCTTCTACTATCCGAACAGGTTTCCGTAAAATTTGTCCAAGTTCTGGACAATCTCGTACCTAAACTAATTAGAAATGGTAAGACATACAAATTAAAATTCACATATCGTCCAATTCAACTCACCCCTTTTGGAATTTGGTAACCACCAACCACCATATCTTTTGTGGCAGTCCTAAAGTTAGCAGCCGCAATTCCTCCCATCCTCAGGCCTTCCTTAATTGATGCTTTTAAATATTTAGCATTCGCTAAAGTTTCTTTGGTAAAGGGTGAATCTTTGTTAGGTAACAATGTAACAAGCTCTTTTCTCAATTCATTTTGTGCTCGTTTGTGAGATGCTAAAAAGTATAAAATCGCACCACCACTTTTACCAGTCTAAAATATTTATGTACATTATGTTTAAATATATAACCAATAGGTATATACCGTGTCAACGCCTGCAGCAAGCAAATCTAAAGCCAGTACATTTGCTACTTTTTCATTAACACTTAGAAATCTTTGCAACATGCTCTTGTTACTTTCCGATGAACTATTTTCGTATCTTATTTTGGCCTCCTGAATATGTTTACTAAATGCGCTGTAAGTAAATGGTATGGTGAAGTTTTGATTAGGCATTGATATTATTATTTGTGTTACTTTTTAATTACGTCAAAATGCTTTACAAATTCATCTCGATTTTTTATATTAATGTATTGTAAGAGAGAAAGTTCGAACTCAAGTTTATACATGTATTCAAGCGATTTATGCACAGCATCGATTATTTTCTGAACTTCTGAGTCAGAATCTAGATTATTGTCCAAACAACCTGAAAAGTATTTATGAAATTTAAAATTATTACAAGCACAGCTCGAAGGTTGGACGTCTATAAAACATCAATAAATGTGTGCTTTATAATTGAACCAAAAGCAGAATCAGGAAAACCATATCGTGCTTCCGTATTTACCCAATCTCTTGTCCAAACCCAGGAAACTGACAGATTCCAACGACCATTTGTTTAGTTCGTTCAAAAAACTTTCTGGCATCATGCCTTCTTCTTTATTATCCAAAAGGAATCTTATTCGTTTAATAAAATCTTGGGAAACGCAATCAATTTCTGGGATGTACATTTCTACTGATCGAATTTGATTCAAAATTGGATTTGCTATCGATCTCATTTTATGCCAATCCTTTCCGTTTCTCAAAAGAAAGTAATTGGTAAACCGCTTCAATAAAAATGCCTAATATCTGTTAAGCTTATAGAAAATACTTACGAAGCAACAAGGGAATATAGATCATCATAAATATCCTTTCTAACGTTTGCTTGATAGTATTCAATACTTTTGAAAGATATACGTTCTGGCCACGTCCCCTCATTTCGAAAAACCTGTACAATCAATATTAGTTTGTTGATGAGAGTTGAGAGTATTTTGTATTATTCATACCGTTTCTATATCTTCTGGTTTATACAAAAACACAGTGTCTCCTTTTACAAATCCGCGCACTGCTGCTATATCGCCATACTTTTGGAATCTAAAAGAAGACATTCAGAAGACACTTTCATTTCAGTCATTTCTATCTGTAATACTTAGGTACATGCCTGCACGTATTCATAAATTTTTGAGNATCTTGTCTTAATTTACTTACTCGTAAACAACAATGGTTAATAAATGTTATCCACTTTAGATAAGGGGGAATGTATGTAAAACTTTTTTCATCATTTAGATTATAAAAGTATTGGTAAGTGTAATTCAACGAAATTCATCTGTCTTTGGTATTTATTACCCAGATGCTATGCAGTTAATTGTTTATTGCGAATATAAGGTAATAAGACAGGTATAATTTCTATTTTAATTTTGAAGGTCCTGTTTATTTTCGTATTGGCTGACATTGGCAAAAGTCCACTTGTAACTTTTGTCGTAAAATCAATGCCAGTGTATTAAGTGCCGTATTTTGTACCTGCTATTGAAAGTTTCACTAGTATTCATGGAAATGTTCTAAAAACCAGTTAGGTATTTGCTATTGTACTTAAGTTAGAGGAAGGCAGGTACCTAAATCCCATACAACAGCAAAAGATCTGATCATTACCATTTTGCTACTTTCTAGTACTTATAATAGTAGACTTTAATTGTAATTTTTTTTTTAAATCGGATAATAATCGGTAATTAATAAGCATCTTCGGTTTTTAAGCTTACTGAGTCATAAATGCAATTTGGTCTGTTCCACTAAAGTCACCAATGACTGGTATAAATCGCCACATATTTCCAAGGAGTGGTAACGGTTTAGGTCCAGGAATTTCGCTGAAAGGCTTAGCATTATCCCAATTATCTGGTTTAGAGGCTGCCTCTTGTCCGACTTTTTGCTCCAAGTTTTGTATCCTTTCAACATTTTCTGCTGCAGCTACAGTTGCTTTGTAGCGTCGAACTTCGGCAAATTTTTGCATAGAATTTCTGGCTGTTCTAGCCGAATGTAGTAATTGACGATACATGCTGATTTAAATATTTGAACTTTTTTATTAATCGTTATAATCTAAAAATTTTATTTTATTGGTTTCCTGACGCATTAAACTTTTCAGTAACTATAAAATTAGGGATTGTTACGATTAAAAGTTAATTTTGTAGAAATGTCATTTTCTTCAGTCTTTCTGTTACTAACTTAAGGATGCTAATTAATATAAATATTAATACAAAGTACCAATTACTATATGCTTTAGTATTATAATTACAAATAGATATGGATCTAGTTGAGTAATAGAATAAATGATACTATTGTTACTTTGACAAATGCACATTTTGTTGTTTTTGGTATTCTGGAAATCTATTTATATGAATATTGATAGATTAAATAAGGTAGAAGTCTTACTAGCTTAAAACACAATTACCTAATACATTCAGATACTGTTTAAGAAAACTATTATTCTTTGTAAAAACTATGTCAAGCTACTACAGTTAAAGCTAAATAACGGTTGGCAAGAACTTGTTTTGAATTCACTTATACAATAAACTATTATATTATCAATTATTATTTTAGATGATAGCATGACACCGACCACGATGTAGTTGTTTAAAAACAAACTTGATTTCACAATTTCCAAATTTTCAGCAAACACTTACCTGTTAAATAACGTACGCTGCTTTGTAACAAATATGGCTATACTTTATTTATTATTAAACACCATGCTATATAGATTTTGTCTGTGTTTACAAGGTTGAGTACAAAATATGTTATTTGCATAGTTTCGCTTAGTTATCGCTTTATATTAAAAAAATAGAATATGATAACGCGTCAGTTAAGATTAAATAAGTATCTCTTATTGCATTCACGCTTGTTTTTATGAACATTCCACATTATACGTTGTTCATAGGTCATGATTTGCGAAGGTAGGTTTTGTTGGATTATTTTAGAATACATTCTTTCTTCTGAAAAACCGTCGCTTTCGGTTGTCTATTTACCGTTTCTAAATTCTTAACAGTTTCCACCTCTATAAATAACACTCACGATCAACTAATTGTAAGAGTAGTACTTATATATAATACGTAATATCTAAAATTATGTAACAACAAATCGCGCAAAATAATAACAATGATTTAGAAACAAATTAAAAATTACCGTTAGAGCATAATTTATAATTTTATACCTTGTGATTTATTGAATTATGTATAAATTTACAGATATTGCAAATAATTACATTAAGGTATTGTGCTATAATATGCATAACGGAATAATTTAATACGAAGATACAACACAAACATTAATTTCACAAAAATTATTCCATTGTAAACTAACATGGCGTATATTTTTACATGATATTTGTTAAAATTGCAACCTTGCAATGAGGGCTTCAAAAATTTGCATACTTTTGTGCAAGTATAATTTTGTATGCACCCCATTTTGAAAGGTTGACGGGATAACTTCCCCTTCGGCCTAATTTCAAGGGGTCAGTCAAAATTCACATGGAAAACGTTCATTCCTTCTCCATATGTATTCATATTCTCAATACAGCTGCAAAAAAATACAAAGCGTGACATTATTTTGGTGAAATAGAGATTTTCGCTTTTAAATTAATATAAAGGAATTAAGCTCATTAAGTTGTCTACAGTTTAGGACTTTTTTAGTGATTTTTAGCTGCTTGCAAACAGGTATTAATCACATCTTGTGCTCCTGAAGTCGAATAGTGTCTACTACTCGATTTGGATCGAATATTGAAGGTTTTGAATAAATCGAAAAATACCTATTGAAGTAGACAGCGAACTATTTATCGATTATTTTGATTTTCTTTAAATAATTCAAAATTTTATCATTATTTAACATTGCCCATATTAAAACCAAATTCAATAAGTAAAACAATTTTTTTATATGAAAAAACTGAATACCAAAAAAAAACTAGTAAGTTCTGTCTGAGAAAAACTTAACGTGTAGGTACTCTACATGTGCTTTGCGCTAGTTCCACAGTTCCATTATAACTAATAATGTAATAATAATTAGTCATTNTTCAATAAGTAAAACAATTTTTTTATATGAAAAAACTGAATACCAAAAAAAAACTAGTAAGTTCTGTCTGAGAAAAACTTAACGTGTAGGTACTCTACATGTGCTTTGCGCTAGTTCCACAGTTCCATTATAACTAATAATGTAATAATAATTAGTCATTATTATAGTATGATATTGTAACGAAGTTCGTGTTTTTTAACAGATAATTTCTTTTGCCGATGCATTGACCCTTACTCTTTAAAGTACATGTACCCAATACTGGTCTTCTAGATTCCAGAACAGTCTCTCGACGAAACAACTTCTTGGTTCTTGGTGATGGGTATGACCCAAATGCACTAACACGTAACGAAATTAAAAGAAAAATTAAAATTATTTGATTCGCGATGAGTTATTTGAAAAATTCGAATATAGATAATTTTATCACAAAATTAAAAACCTATTGATAATAGATCGTCCATACAATGAATGCGAATTTGCAAATAAACACAATATTGTTAATAAACTGTACCATACCTGAGTATGTGCGTGATACTAACAATAATTCCATCCATTGTTACTGTTACGTAAAGTTTTTATGGATCTGAATAATTCGCAGGAATTGTTGATGGGGTGGGTGTTACTCTAGCCAAATCGAACTGAATTAAGATAATCATATAGGTTGTCACAACTGTTGTTAACTGTAAACATAAATTGTCCATCAATCAGATTTAACATTGCGCTTCCACATTGCACAGAAGATAATCAAAATAATCTTGTCTTATAAAATAATTCGAGTAGAATACAGACCACTTCGAATTATTTTATTCGATTAAGCTAACGTGCCTATCACGTTGAGGTTGGCTACGCCGGGATTCGTTTTCAGCAAGTAGATATCCATACAAGTGGACCTTGTTGGAGCATACGTAATCCTAAAATGTAGCATCGTGCTACAGATGGCGTTTACCGCGCCATTTGTAGTATTTTCTAAATCTTGTCTTAATTCACTTACTCGTAAACAACAATGGTTAATAAATGTTATCCACTTTAGATAAGGGGGAATGTATGTAAAACTTTTTTCATCATTTAGATTATAAAAGTATTGGTAAGTGTAATTCAACGAAATTCATCTGTCTTTGGTATTTATTACCCAGATGCTATGCAGTTAATTGTTTATTGCGAATATAAGGTAATAAGACAGGTATAATTTCTATTTTAATTTTGAAGGTCCTGTTTATTTTCGTATTGGCTGACATTGGCAAAAGTCCACTTGTAACTTTCGTCGTAAAATCAATGCCAGTGTATTAAGTGCCGTATTTTGTACCTGCTATTGAAAGTTTCACTAGTATTCATGGAAATGTTCTAAAAACCAGTTAGGTATTTGCTATTGTACTTAAGTTAGAGGAAGGCAGGTACCTAAATCCCATACAACAGCAAAAGATCTGATCATTACCATTTTGCTACTTTCTAGTACTTATAATAGTAGAGAAACAATTTTTATTTTTATCCAAATGAATTGGCTGTTACATAAAGATTTTATAAATTAAATTAAAGGTTGATGTATTTGTGTTTCGGTACCCAAAGTTTCTCAACTGATTAAAAGGTTTTAAAAACAGTTTACAAACACATACGTAAATATAGTCTTTCCTACAATTTTTTTTTAGCACAACGCTGACTTATAAACTCCATTTAGATTTATCTATTTTTATTCACTTTTAAAATATTTCAACGGGCACAGATGCGAGATTATGCCACATTGGAAGAGATTAAAAATTATGGAATTACACGCTCCAAAGATTTCCATATGGTGTAGATATTGGTTTTTCAAAAAGGTTGCATACATATGAATTTTTATAATATCTCAAGATTCTAATGCTGGTTGGTTTGTGAAACATTTTTTTATACTTAGGTATAATTAAACGGAAACAAGCGTATCGCTCTTGAATGTTCATAAACTGCCCACATTGAAAAATATGATCATTATTAAATTTAGAGATGATTTTTGCATTATAAATTGGCATACGTAAGTTCATATAATTAAAAATGAAACAACTAAATTGCTTTCATATGGTCACTGTAAGATTGTCATAATTGAGTCATTAAAGTGAACATTTAAAAGCATATATATTTTATTTATTTATATGAATTTATTGTAATTAGTATACGTATACATATCGTATCAGTGGCGTAATTATGTTAAAAAACTTGTGTTTGGATACATAATATGGGAATAGGCTAAGCAGTCATATAAAAATTATACATAAAAACGTCTTTTATTAATTTCTATAAAAAATCAACACATCATTCGTATACAATTATCCTGGACGGCTCCTTTCAAGATAATTTATTAAATCCAAAGGATACGTCAAGTTTCATAACTATAGTGTTTGATAACAGTTGATGTATCCTTTGGATTTAATAAATTGCCTTGAAATGATCGTCCAAGAAAACTGTTGACGAGCAAAACGTCGACTTTCCATGTAAATTAATAAATTTATGCTTGGTTTTTGTTTGCTTAGTCAATTCCCACATTTTGTATACTAAATTTGCAATAATCGCAAATTTTGATGAATAAATTCATTTTGTAATTACAATTATATTATAAGTTTAATAGTAATTGTAAGAATGAAATCCAAATTTTCCTAACGGAATTCATCATTTCGTAATTATTTTCGAAAGACAACAGAAATTGTCTGAAAAACATCATCCCCAACTTCTACTAAACTCTTAACCTGTACAGAAAATGTCATTATATGAATTTCTCAAAAAAGCTGTTGAAATTATTCTAAAATCGTTCACAATATTTCTCAAATCGGTATTGCGTTCATGTACAAAAGTTTGGTTTAAATGTATCGACTGTGAGATAATTGTCATTACATTTAATCTGATGATGTCGCCTCAATTTGTCTAAATGTCTTTTGGGGCGACGGACGTGATGCTTTCTATTTCGAGAGAAAGTTGATGAATTTAAGTAATTTTTTGCCATATCAACAGCAGTGTTTTTCAAACATTCGAAGTGCCCATCAAGCCTTGTAACTTGGAGGCCCATGATCCATGGAATACATGAAAAATCGATAGTTACTCCACTGCTTCACCTCTAAATTTATCCATGAGCATATAGTTTTTCATGTAGGCGGTTAATTTGACATTAGAATATTTATACCTATGGTGAGTGATACTAAAATTACTCATGAAACATGTTGAAATATTGCCAACAAGAAAAGATCAATAGCATTGGCAACTCTTTTGGTGTTCTCTTAATATTAAAAGACTAATTGTAATATGTACTAACCAAGAGGTGCACAATCCAAAACAGGATTTTCTTCCCCTTAAGGTTAGGAATGTGAACTATAAATTGACCTAGACTATTATTTTTGGATGGTATTTATAAAGAACAATCTAACGCTTATGAAACCTAAAAATACCCAATCGTTGACATTAGTGTCACATACTTACCGTATAGAGATAACTATAATCAAGGGCAAACATGTCGCAAACTGTGAACTGAGTTTCCCCATGAACAAGTTGAAAGGAAAATGTTTTTAGCTAAACAGAAAAAAAGTTTGATTATATCTTTATAGAATGAAGCGTGTACACCCTGAAAAAAAATTTTTATAGTTACGATCAGGGAAAATCAGGAAATCGGAAATTTTTTTTAAAGTGGTGGTCGATACTACAAAAGGTTAAAATGGATTATGAGTTAGATATTGTTCAATATTTAGATAATTTGTGTAAAATCTATTTTGTGATTTTTCGAATTGAATTATTTTTATGATCGTTCAGTATATGGAGGTGCTTTATTCATATAAAGCGAATGTGAAAAGTAATTAAAATATTGACTCAATAATAAAAATAAACATCGAAATTTTCATAATTACGCATAAAAAAAGGCTAAAAATTACAGTGCTATTTTAAATTATGATTTTCCAAGTCGTAGCAAGTAATAATATGCATATGTATTTTGTTAATTGCAATTTACATGAAAATATTGTCATATAACATAATTTCTTCGGTATACAATGTTGAGGGATCAATAAAACGCAATGCAGCAAATAGAACCGTCCATGTTTCTGATAAGTACACAAAGGAAACTGGGAACGCCTGGAAATTTCCAGAACCAAATTCGATAGCAGTTTGCTGAACATCCATTACCATTTTGCTACTTTCTAGTACTTATAATAGTAGAGAAACAATTTTTATTTTTATCCAAATGAATTGGCTGTTACATAAAGATTTTATAAATTAAATTAAAGGTTGATGTATTTGTGTTTCGGTACCCAAAGTTTCTCAACTGATTAAAAGGTTTTAAAAACAGTTTACAAACACATACGTAAATATAGTCTTTCCTACAATTTTTTTTTAGCACAACGCTGACTTATAAACTCCATTTAGATTTATCTATTTTTATTCACTTTTAAAATATTTCAACGGGCACAGATGCGAGATTATGCCACATTGGAAGAGATTAAAAATTATGGAATTACACGCTCCAAAGATTTCCATATGGTGTAGATATTGGTTTTTCAAAAAGGTTGCATACATATGAATTTTTATAATATCTCAAGATTCTAATGCTGGTTGGTTTGTGAAACATTTTTTTATACTTAGGTATAATTAAACGGAAACAAGCGTATCGCTCTTGAATGTTCATAAACTGCCCACATTGAAAAATATGATCATTATTAAATTTAGAGATGATTTTTGCATTATAAATTGGCATACGTAAGTTCATATAATTAAAAATGAAACAACTAAATTGCTTTCATATGGTCACTGTAAGATTGTCATAATTGAGTCATTAAAGTGAACATTTAAAAGCATATATATTTTATTTATTTATATGAATTTATTGTAATTAGTATACGTATACATATCGTATCAGTGGCGTAATTATGTTAAAAAACTTGTGTTTGGATACATAATATGGGAATAGGCTAAGCAGTCATATAAAAATTATACATAAAAACGTCTTTTATTAATTTCTATAAAAAATCAACACATCATTCGTATACAATTATCCTGGACGGCTCCTTTCAAGATAATTTATTAAATCCAAAGGATACGTCAAGTTTCATAACTATAGTGTTTGATAACAGTTGATGTATCCTTTGGATTTAATAAATTGCCTTGAAATGATCGTCCAAGAAAACTGTTGACGAGCAAAACGTCGACTTTCCATGTAAATTAATAAATTTATGCTTGGTTTTTGTTTGCTTAGTCAATTCCCACATTTTGTATACTAAATTTGCAATAATCGCAAATTTTGATGAATAAATTCATTTTGTAATTACAATTATATTATAAGTTTAATAGTAATTGTAAGAATGAAATCCAAATTTTCCTAACGGAATTCATCATTTCGTAATTATTTTCGAAAGACAACAGAAATTGTCTGAAAAACATCATCCCCAACTTCTACTAAACTCTTAACCTGTACAGAAAATGTCATTATATGAATTTCTCAAAAAAGCTGTTGAAATTATTCTAAAATCGTTCACAATATTTCTCAAATCGGTATTGCGTTCATGTACAAAAGTTTGGTTTAAATGTATCGACTGTGAGATAATTGTCATTACATTTAATCTGATGATGTCGCCTCAATTTGTCTAAATGTCTTTTGGGGCGACGGACGTGATGCTTTCTATTTCGAGAGAAAGTTGATGAATTTAAGTAATTTTTTGCCATATTAACAGCAGTGTTT